AGTGATGGATGGTATTTACTGGAGGTTTTAAGTGGCTTTTATTTCTCTTGTGGGAAAGCGGTTGGTAGATTTCATTGCGGGTTGTGTGTAATGAACTGTGTGTGTTATGATGAATTTGGAAAGCATGTAACTTCATGTCTGATTTGACAGACAAATTTGACTGCTGCAAACATCATCTGGAAAGAAACGTGTTTGTTGAGGATTTCCCTGCAGACGTCGCCCTGTTCCCTCTGCCAGCCGTAAATTAATGTCAGTGATTTCTTTGTTCAAACTTCATTCATTAACTTAGAACACTCTAATGCAGATTTATACGGAGCCTAAACAGTGCCATCAGTTTTTTGTAATTCTGTAATCGTCGAAAATTTTCCGCTAAAGTGATTACTAACTCCTATCTGCAGGGGGCAGTATTTCTTACTTCTGCTACACTGCTGCCTCTGCCTTACTGGATGTCTAATTAAAGTCCATGACCAGTATGGCGAATAACAGAAAAGTCACATTTACTGTCACACATAAGAGGAAAGCAGAAAATTATCATGAAAATATCACAAAATTCCGTCCTAATATTTCTAAATTAGCAACTCAAAATTTCTAACTCCGTCTCCATTAACCATTAAAATGTGTAAATTGAAATTATTAAATACATTTGCTGAATGGAAACATGGCAATTTAGAAAAAGCTCACGTGTCCGATAGATAACGTGGTTTTTCGGCCATATTGAAATTAGTTTTTTCCACAAAACTGCAATGGAAATGCTTTTTTCAAGTCACATGATCAACAACCAGACGTTTCTACTGGCGGAAATGACAAAGAAGATGACAGGAAGTAGAAGAAGGACGATGGTTTGTTTTTGTTTTTTTAGATGCTGTGCAGCGTCACACGGTTCAGAAATGGTTGTGCATCATCCATGACAAAACTGCAAAATGGCCGACGATAATGCTCCCAAGTAGGCGGGACTTGTCGCCGATGTCTCCTCCTCTGATTGGCTGACAGATTATGAGCTCCAGGGAATGGTTGCCAAGGAGATTTCTCAAACATCAAGGCAACACTCCAGGTAAGCTTTTGATGCGTTAATAACATATAAATGGCTTACATGATAGATTTCATTGTCTGTTTGTGTTTGATGAACTATGTCTTATGATGAATTGGAAAAAACACAAATTTATGTGACTGCTGCACACATGGCCTGGACAGAAATGTGTGTGTGGAGGATTCCCCCCGTGCCGCTCTGCCAGCCATAAATTTAAAGCTGCCGACCTCTTTTTTTCAACCTCCTTCATTTATGAACTTTATGAACCTCATAAATCCCGACCTGGGGAGTGTGTGCTCCTTTCCTAATCCTGCTGGAGCCGTCAAGGCCACGCCACATCCAGATCATGTCAGAACATCACATGGGATGTGCTTTCCAGGTGACGCTACAGCAGGTTGGGATAAAAGCAGTTTTAATGTTTAAACAGACATTAAAACTGCATCCACCTTCATATTCTAAATTATCTATCAAGGAACATGTAAACATTTTGTCCTTGTTTGTCCTTCCAATAGAGGACAAACAAGCTTTTTGTGCTGAAGGACAAAGAATCATTAACTTTTGCCAAAGTTTGATAAACCTTTGGTGTTTTTGGTGCTACTTTACTAAAATTAGTGACTCTCAAACAAAGTCGGTGAGCAGCTGAATAGGGAATCATTGTTGACACAAAACTTAAATCCAGTCTGCGCTTGAGATGGTTTTATTTTTATCAATATCTTCAAAAATCCAAGGCAGAACATCAGTGGATAACTGACATCCAAAAGCAGCATAAAAACCGATCAAAGGTTTAAACAGCGATCAAAGATGAAACTCATCAAACCCAGGAAAACTTGGAGTTACCTGGTCTCTGAAGTCACCAGGTGAGCAACAGGTGAGGTGTAAAATCTACTTTTTTGTCATGTTATAAAGTTATTCCCTCATCAAAAACATGCCTGCTGTGTTGCCTTGATTCTTTCATGCATGTTTGAAAAAAATCAACCACACAGCTACAAAATGCCTGGGTGGACTTAGCTCCGCCTTCAAGGCGCAGTTCCTCCTCTGAGCTCCCGTCTTCATTAACGTCATCATCTGTCAGCCAATCAGAGGAGACGTTGACGTTCCATTCAGGCGTTGGAGGGACAAGCCCTGCCCACTTGGGAGCAGCGAATTGTGCAGCGTTTTGGGAAAATTGGGTTAGCAATAAAAACAAAAAACAGATGCAATAAATTCACAGATTACTGGATTAACATTAAAAAAAGAAACAGGAATCGGTTGATTTTGTGCAAATTTACACAATTAGAATCACAAAACGCAGTTTTTTGTGTTGGTTTGCTATAAAAGTTTGAGAGTTTGAATCTCGAATAGAGTCTTTCTGCATGGAGTCTCCCTGTGCATTCTGGGTACTCTTCCCAAAGTCCAAAAACATGACCGCTGGGTTATTTGGTTGCTGTAAACTTGCCCTCAGGTGTGTTCCTGGGCGTCGACGACAGCAGGATAGAAAGTTTCTGTATGTGTTTCACTGCGTTGCGCCACAGTTGAGCCCACAGTTAATGGCTTTTCTTTGTCGTGGGATCGCTGCCAATCCACACCGCTCCCTAACATCATCCTAAAGACGCCCTTCAGCTCAGAGGCAGGCATGGAAAACCTGCAGGCTGTCGCACACAAAGGCGGCCCTGATGGCCTCGCATGCTCAGCGCACAAACATGAGGATTACTGTAAACACCCAGCTATCAGTGGAGAGGCTCAGCGGAGATGAAGTGTGTGTTGGAGGCTGGCTGACGGGCCGGGACATGTTCACCCAGCCCACAGCTACAAACTAATCGTTATTTATGGCAAGAAAGAACCTGGGAGGGAAGCAATTTGTAAGTTAAGCTGAGGGCTTCGTTTGAGTTAACAACACAAAACTCAGTGCAGACTTTAAAGGGACAGAATCACGTAAAATCTGCTTTTTCACTTTTACATGATGTTATATTGTTTTTCCCTCATCAAAACATACCTGGAGTGTTGCTTTCATTCTGTCGCACATGTTCAGCTCCAAACACCTGGGTGGACTGAGCTCCACCTTTTATTTGCAGCACCTCCACCTCTGAGCTCCTTCAGACTAGCCAGCAGCAATTAGCAAACACCTGATGCTTAGCTCATTATGGGAGCTACTTCTCTGTGCAACCCTGGTAAAAAACAATGTAAAAGGGTTAATGAAGGAGCCATGTTGGAAGGCACAGTGTCAGAAAGAGCAGGACTTTCTTAAAGAGACAGAAGCCCAATTTTAAGGCATTGAGTTAGGAAGTAAATTTAGTTTTAAGTCATATTTGATACATACAGCATTTTTTTATGAAGGTAGCATAATTTGTTGATTCTTCTATGAAATGCCACAATGTGCCTGGAAAACACATAATCCTGCCCCTTCATTGTTTTTTGGTGTCCAGAAATTTAGCCGTTTCAAAAACCTCCAGAATGTAACTTCACCAATCAGCAAGCCACGCCTGTTACCTAGCAACCAAAGCTGAGCTCAGCCCGTTTGGTCAGCTGGTTTCACCGTTGTGTGTCTGTACAATGGCTGCTGGAAAAGACTAGTGTCTAGTTGATGATTTACTATCCAGAAACCACTTTCTGTATTCTTGTTGGTTGCGCAGAAGGCTCCACTTCTGCTGTTCAAAGATGTATGCCTGTGCATCTATTTGCAACAATTTTAATGTGCGAGTGTTGAGGGATCATGGTCAGCAGCAGCTCATTTGGATTTAAAGTGACAGAGAGGAGGGAATGCTCTGCTGTCACTTCTGGATCAGGTATCTGCCTGCAAAGAATAAAACGGGAAAACGTGAAGCTGAAACGGCACAAAACGAGATCCTGACCAGAAACCGTGACACATTAGGTTCAACAAGCAACTGCTGATCCAGGACTCATGTTCAGCTGAACCTGTTAATGTGCTGCTGATCCTCCAACCCTCTGATGAAGCCAGTGGAGAGAATGCGGAGCTTTTTGGAGTCGAACTTCTCTGTTAGTCTCAGTCAGATTCAAACTAGATGGCAGCTGATGATTCACAGCCTCTCCGACTCCCGCAGTGAATATGTCTGCCTTCGCTGCTTTGTCATGTTTCTGGTATTTTGGACTTCAGACATGTGCAGCCTGCTTTCATTAGCCCTTCATGCTAAAACTCTCCCCCACCCTGGATGGTAGGAAATGTTGCTTGAATCAAACACTTGGCCACTGAGTTTAGCATCCCTGCGGTTCTGTTTGGAGATACAAACCCGATCCGGTTTCCTCTGTTGTGTCTGCAAAACTCAAGGTTGCATGTTGAAACCTCCCGACTCGGCTGAGGTGTGTCTCAGCTGCAGCTTTGCATGAAGGGAGCGAGGCAGACCGAGGAGCAGACAGAGGTCAGAGGTCAGGTGGTTTCTTTCTGCAACAAGTTTCTAAGTTGCATCTAGAAAATTTCTCATGTCAAAATTTCAGCTTTTTTCTCACAGAATTTCAACTTTTGAAACTCAGAAATTTCAACATTTTCTAGAAATTTTCTGTTTTTTCTGTTTGAAAAGTTTTGAAATCTCTGAGTCTTTTCCAGAAAATGTTGGAAGTTTGTTTAAAATTTTCTGTTTCTTTTCTTCCACATTTTCAAATTGTGAAACTCAAAATTTTCTAGAACTTTTCTGAGATTAATCTCAAAAGTTGCTTAAAAATTTTTTAATTTTTATTAATTTTACAAAAATTCTGGAATTATTCTCAATATTTTCTAATTTCATGGCAGAAATGTTCTCCTTTTTGCCATTTACAATTGCCCAAATATTCTGTCCTAAGAACATTCTGATGAGATGAAAATGAGTGAAAATCTGGTGAATCTGGCTGTTTGACTGCAGGTCAAGCGCCGCACAGCTGCGCAGTGGAGACGCTCCTCTGAGTTGTGCGCAGCTGCTGCGCTCTGATTGGCGCAGAGAGGCGTGTTCCCCGCAGGAATGCGGCGCTCAGGTGGAGGGAGAGTCACCGACTCGAAGCTCTGCGCTCCACAGCTCGCAGGACGCTCCGCGCTGCGCACCGCCGCTCTCCTTTGCGCACTTTGAGCGGACAGATCAGCCGCAACCTGCTGCTGATTTGACTTGGAAACTGTTTCGTGTAAAAGTTTTTTTTTCTCATTCGGGCTGATTTTCTCATGACTAGCAGCTGGAAAACTTAAAAAGTCACTTCTTGCACCAGGACTGTCCTCAGGAAGATGCGTTCATGCTCCGGTTTCCCCAGAAGGATGTGAGCCGAGAGCGCAGCTGCTTGGATGGATCTTCCCTCCAGCTGAAGGAGAATCAGCAGAAATAATAGAAATTATTCCCTACCGCGTATTTCAAAAAGCGGACCGGACCGGAGCAGAACCGGAGCAGAACCGGAGCAGGACGCGCACGGCCAGCAGAGCGGACATGGGCTCTGCGTTTAGGTCTGGACACCCTGCAGCGGGGCCGCGCCGCGCGTCACCGCCGCGTCGTTTCACATCATGATGCTCCATCAGAACCGAACCCATCCAATTTAACCCAAACGGATCCAGCATGGCCCCAGGGCAGACCAGGTGAGACAAACTGGCAGAGTTGGGTAGTAACTAGTTACTGTCGTAAAAGTACTTTTAGGAATATTTTTAACACGCTGATGACGTCACAATGTCATGATGTATTTCTGCTACTTGAATAAAATTTGTGGATTTTCCACTGAATGAGAAATATGTTGCAGAAATGAAATTTCTGTGAATGTTGCAGAAGTTCTATTTTGAAGGAAACTGATTTGGGGGAGAAAATTTTTTTTTTTGCCTGATTTTGTCATTTTAGTCATTAAAATATGAAGATTTCTACTTAAGTTTCTGTTTTGGTCGGTTTGGTGATGCAATGTTTAAATGTGAAATGATTGATCATTTGATTGGAGCCTCAGGACTTTAGTGGATTTTTTACCAAATACTTTTTTCCTCTCAGTTGAGTGAAAACATGTCGAAGTGGTTTTACTCTCTGTTGGGGTCCAGCTTTGGGAAGTGACACATTCCTCCGACTGCATGCGCAGCAACTTTAAATATTTACCTTGAGTTACTTTTTTTCTTGCAAGGAACTGCAAAGGCTTGGAGATTTGTTGAGGAGGGAGGCGACAGATTCCAGACAGTCTGACTTTGTCCCTGAGCTTGTTTCATTTTCTGCAGAGATTTTATTGACTCATATTTACTGAAGTTCTCATTTTGTTTTCTTTCCCTCACAAAATGCCCGTAGCAACACCACAGCATGATGCTGCCACTACCATGTTTCATACACAGGATTCTGGAAAAAGAAACAATGAATTGGGACTTTAATCTCAAAACCAATTCAGTTTTATGTCAGAATTATGACTTTAATATTTAATTTCACAACAAAGACTCAAATTTACCAGGAAAAAAAATCTGAAATGTTGAAAATGTTTCACTTTTGAAATTCAGAAATTAAAAAAAAATTTTTTTAGGAAATATCTTGGAATAATCTAAAAAAAAATTTTTTATTATTTTTCTTTTTATTCAATTTTTGATTTTTGATCATCCAAAAAATCCAGATTTTTTTTCTAGAAAATTTCTGGGATTAATTTCAACATTTCAGTTTTTTCTAGAACTTTTTTGACTCTTCAAACTGAGTTTTTAAAAAAAATCTAGAAAACTTTTAAGATTAATCTATTTTTTGTTTTTTTTTTCTATAAAATTTCTGGGGTTAATTTCAACATTTCTGAATCTTCTTGAAAATTTCAGACTTTTCAAACTGAGAAATTTTCATGTTTTATTTCTCAAAATGAGAGAATTTTGGTGTAAGTTGACTCTGTTTTGTATTTGTTTAAGTGGCCTCAGTATTTTCCGCATCAGGACCGTTGGCACATGTTGCTCTGCTGTTATCTCCTGTCACCAGCTATAAATACTCTGCTCATATTTATCTGATCTGTCGCTGCTGCAGAGAAACCCGGGCTTCTCCTGTTCTTCCCCCTGAAAGCAAACCTTTCCATTAAAACCTGTTTATCAAACTCTTTTACAGCGGAGAGTGAAATGTTTTCAGTTGGTTTGGAGCGAGACGTGAAGTTTGGCCCCTGGCGCTTCTTTTCTGATGACTCTCAGGAGGAATGTGTGTGAGATCCAGCCGTCAGAGACATGAACACATTTAATCTGCTTACCTTTGGAAGACTGAGCATAAAACGAGCGCTCTGATTGGTTCTCACATTCCTCCTGGGAGGAATTTGGATGCACCAGGTATCAACACGAGTTTCTCTGGGAGGAAATTTGTTGTTAGCAAGATAAGGCGGTTCAGAACAGCGAGAGGTTTAATCCAGCTCCTGTTTTGGATTTAAAATGAACCATAAACTTCATAAACTCAGATTTTTACTATAAATGAAATGTCATTTACACCTCAAAAGTGTTGGAGAAGTAACACTGACATTCACAGTCAAATGTAATCCAGTCCGTTTGTTTAAAAGGTCGGCTTTGGTTGAAAAGGTCTGAACTCAAACTCTGGTTTGCCTACAAACAACAAAAGACGACAAAAGCACCGAGCATTCTGGGTAAATACAGCCAAAACAAACACGCTAGCCGAGCACCAGAAGGCTCGGCTTGTGGGTTTTAGCTACAGGAAAAGAGAAATCTTAAATCCGCTAAAATCTGATGCCACTTCAGTTTTATAAAGGAAGTTGTGCTTTGTGTCTTCAGACGTTTTTGTCGTTTCCTTCAGTGGCTCAAACATTTCTAGAAAACACTTATACTTTTTAGATAAATATCAGAAATATTCAGAAGAATAATAACATTTCTGAGTTGGAAAAGCCAAAAATTTGCAAGAAAAAACTTAGAAATTTCTCAGGTTCAAAAGTAAAAATTATTATTATTTTTTTTAAATCTAGTTTTGAAACCAATAAAATTTCTATTAGTCAAAAACTTCTCAGTTTTTTCATACAAATTCTGGACCTCAGATATGTTTTTCCATAAAATGTCTCAGATGAATCTGAAGATGTTTGTTGGCAGATTTGTGCTCCTCCGTATGACGGCCGTCGAGTCGCATCTTAGTGCCTGGAAATCAGCTGATTTTAATCTGATTTTCCAATTCTGAAAGCAAAACAACGTTTTCCATTCATGCGCAGGAAGAAACTCCTGATGCTTTCATGTATCATCAAACAGACCAGAAACACTTCATTGTCTAATCTCTGGACTTGTTTATTATATTTGCATTTGGCTTCGTGGTTTAAACCTGAGCTGGGCCTTTTGGATCAGGTTTTCACATTCTTGTTGTCGCATGCAGCTTTGCTTAGCTTGCGGTTCAAACGAATCAGATTAGCTTTGAGTTAAGAGACCTTTAAGCTCTCGTTTTATTGGCCCACTGCTCCTGCAAACTCTTTTCCACTTGCAGTTCTTAAATGTATTTGAGTAACTTGTATTTTTATCTGTCTGAGCTGTAAAATGTATTAATTCCATCCTTGAATAAAAAAGATTTTTCCATCTTTGAATCAAAGGGGAATCATTTTTGTCCTCCAATTTAGCAAAAAGAAAAAAAAAGCAACAAAGAGTCAGTTTGTGTCCCTTAAAAAATGACAAACATGCAGCGACTTTCTGCTCCCAATTTAAAACGTCATGTAGTTCTGGCAGCTGCAGTTTTATTGTTAGAAAACAGAGTCCATAAAAGAAAAATGGAAAGTTAATGAACTAATCAATGATTCTGAGGGTTCAGGCAGGAACATCCGATCCTAAAGGTCCAACCCGACAGCAAAACGTTTCAGTGATTCCAGCTAACTCGGCTCTAACTACAAAATAATATCAGTTAGTGATTATACTAATAAAACTCCTGTTTCAAGGTTCACTCAGATAAAATTTTACAGCTCCGTCTTCGTGTTTCGCTGCACAACTCTAACAAGTGGCTGATTTTACAAACCCAGCCTGGGAGTTTCTTCAGTGACGTTTTGTTTTGACGCCTTGTTGAGGTTTTTTTTAACGCCGGTTTCACGTATTTGTGTCTCTCGCCGTGACTCATGTTGCAGAGGGTGATTGCAGATGACCTTGGAGGCTCTGAATCAGCCAGAGGCTGTGAGAAGATAATCTCATAATCCCTGAGGTATGATGGTCCTCCAAGTCTCTCCGTCATGAAAGAAGCAAATTAGCCAAAGCGAAGGAACAAAAAAGGAGAACGAATCAGAGTTTGATCTCGACATTCTGTTTCCTTCAAGTTTTTTATTCCAAATTGAAAGTTTCTGAAGCATCTCAGTCTAGCGTTCCTTTCTGGAGATCCTATAATATTTTCTCTGGACTTTAACTGAATTTGACCTCAGTGTTTGATTATTTTCAGAAGAATGTCAGTTAATGTGATTTTAAAGTACAGCATGAACGTAAAATCGCGTTTTCTACTAATACCAATCTGAAAACTGTGGCGTAAACGTTTATTTAGGGAGTATTCACAGTGGCCTTGTTGAATCCATTTGAATCAAACCAGAATCGGGAACTCTGGTTCGGTTTGAGTGCATCGTGAACACCAAGCAGACCGGAGACCCCTCCAAAAGCAATAAGAGCGCCACAGCGCAGGGAATTCTGGGTAAACACAACGCCACTAAAATCTGCCGCCGCCACATTTTCAATTTTATTTGGTGAAGAAGGAAGTTGTGCTCAGAGGTTTTCATATGGTTTTCTTCAGTGGTTGTTGGTGCAGCGCCCCCGCAGGTGAGGAGGGGAACAGGTTGGCTTGTTTGACTGCAGTGCTGTGAACCACAGCAGCTGAAAATGTAACAAATGTCTACCAGACCATCAGTTTTAAGTTAATAATTATTTAACTTATATTTAGTACTTTTTAATCAATATTGAGAAATTATTTATTTAAAACAAGCTGCTATATTTTGCTGTTGTCTTATTTCAAATGAATTATATTTGCTGTAGAAACTAGACCAAAAATATTTAGCAAGATTTTGTGTTTTCAGACTTTTATCACAAAAAATCTTTCATTTCTTCAGATAAACCTCGTGAACAGGTTTTTAAGTGCAGCAGACAGTAGCTGTTGTTTGAAAGTCGACTCTCTGCTGTTTGTCAGTGCAGCAGCTGCAGAGGCACAAAGCTTCTCTGAGGGCTTGTTTTGTTTTGTTAGCTGGACCTGAGCGAGGCCACGGCGCCTCGTCAACACAAACACGGGGTCAGAGTTCAGCTCCGACCTCAGACTCAACATCTGCTCTCATTCAGCGGCGTGCAGTGCGTCGCCCGCAGGACGAATCCCAAACACGGACAGACCTCTGAGGGGGTCACAGGTCAAAGCCAGGCCATGCTTCTCTGGGTCACCATGCAGAAACACTCCAGTCAAGGTGTCTCGCACCTTCTCTGGGGTCAAAGGGCACATGGGTGCGCGTTCGCAGCAGAGAAGTGGATTGCAGTTTGTTTGTACAGGGTGTGAATGTGAGCCTACATGTTGCTCAGGGTGTTTGAGTTCAGCCGCGACACAGAGGCTCTCCTCTGCAGATGCAGGAGCGCCACCTGCAGCACCACCTGCAGCGCCACTCCTGCAGGTGGCGCTGTTTGGAGAAAGACAGCACAGATTATTCAATTAAACCCTGACTGATATCATGATTACTTTATTGTGCTTTAGAAGCATGAAGCACACATCTGACTGAGAGACCTTTGGGTGTAAATATGTCTAAAAGTGTTTTCACACCTGATCGTCCGATGATTCAGTTTGATTGGGGACAAAAGTTCAATTCACCAACAAACCAAACCATTAGAGCAACCTGTTCCCCTCCTCGCCTGTGGGGGCGCTGCACCAAGAAGGAAAAAATACAGACACTGAGCGCCGCTTACCTCTTCACAAAATGAAGTGGCATCAGATTTTAGAGGTTGGAGGATTTCTCTTTTATCTGGGCTAGGTTAGCATGTCGGTTTGAGTTGTATTTACCCAGAATGCTAATTAAAAATAATTAAAACTAATTGAATTAGATGAAAAGTCTCAAAATAAAACAAAATTATAGTGAAAAACCCAAAGCTGTTTTCGACAGACAGACAGACAAATCCACAACCATCCAAATAAAACTACATAAATTTTTAGTAAAACTTTGAGTCTTAAATTTTTGCATTTTTAAAATATCTTGCTGGTTTCCGTGTGACTGCTGGTTCTGTGCTCTGCAGACAGAGTTTAGTTTCAAACGGGCGTCAGTCAAAACAAACAGGCAGTCTCGTGTTGATTAAAGACATTTTGCTCCCCTCTGCCCTGGAGTTATTCACTAATGTGCAGCTATAGTCTTAATGAGAGCAGGACGAGGCAGGCTGACCCCCGCTGACCTCTGTACGGGCCCCTCAGCGAGGGGGGCCGAGCAGTTAGAGTCCAGACATGAGCAGAAACTGATGTGTATTTCATGAAGTTAATGTCTGGAACTGTCTGTGCTGAGAGGCTGAAGCGCGGACCCCTCGTTAGGAACGCCTCTATTAGTTTTACGGCTGTTCTGGGACGCGGTTTGAGCTCCGAGGTTGTAAAACTCTGAACAAAAGTCGGGATAAAACAAGAAATTAGGAGTTTTGATGTGGTTTCTGGTCTTATTTTTTTCTTAATTAAAAACTATCACGGTTGACGGCGATTTCATTAAACTCACCAGATATTCACACAAGCTGTGAAAAAAGACATAAACCTGAATTTAAACGAAACCTTTCCTGTTTCAGATTTAGGAAGTTCTTTGCCAACACCATAAACACAACGATGTGACATCATGGGAAAATCGCTGAGAGATGTTGAGCTCTTAAAGAAAGAGCCACAAAGAGCTCTTAAATCTCCAGGTGGGGTGCCGGACCTCCTCCTCTTCCTCGCTGTACGAATGTGAGCCCAGGATCTTCTCTTGATGCTTTTCTTGGTTTAAACTAAATTTCTCAGTTTGGAACTTGAAAAGAAATACTGCTTTCACAATCTGTGACTATAAAGACCTAGAAATGTCAGTCAGCAGCACTGGCTGTTTTTAAGTTGCATTCATTTCTTGTGTGTTTTAGAGTACAATGTTTGTGTTTTACTGTATCTTTGGACCTGCTTGTCATTGTATTTTGATAGTACTTACAATAAGGTCCAAGTGTGACATCACAGCACTTTTATTAGGCCTGAATCAATCTATCAGGTTGCAGTTCAAACTGTAGGAAGTTTCTGTTCAGTTTTACACAGAATAGACACTAAAATAAAATCACAGCATCCCAGATTGACATACAGTGTGTAATATGCAACTGTTACTGCAATATTAGATATAAATCTGCAACAAGCGAATGCGTTGTCCTGACTGAGGACACTCCCACTTCTCCCAGTTTGCCAGACGGAGCGCTAAAGTTTTTGCTAGCACTGGTAACTGGTTTGGAGTTTAAAGTTAAAGCAGAAAAATGTTTTATAATCTTATAGACACACAAATCCACCACAAAAAGACAAACAGATGTTTAATACATATTTTAATATCAATTATTTACCAACTACACAAATATTTGCAGATGTTAAAATTCAGAAAGATTTAATTTTAGGCCATTGTACATTATATTAAAGATTTATCTGAATATAAAATCATAGAGGACGAGAAGTTTTTCATGACACAAACTGATCTCACCTTAAACATGCATTTATTTGAACTTTGTTATAATCTAAAATCAAATGCAGCAGATTTTGCCCATAAAAGGAGAAATCCAGTGCAGGTTCGCTGGTGGAGGTCTAACTGAAGGGATTATAGGATTATCTCCATTAAAGCACCAAAGCAGATGTTCCCTCTTTATCTGATTTCCACCAAACTTTAAACAAAACCAGGATCAAAACCAGCCTGCCTGCAGCAGAGGACAGGCTGCCTGCCGATGCATTTACAGGCCAAAAAACAAGGGAATAAAAACAGGAAAAAAATCAGATTTTTCTCTATTTAGACTCACTGTTATCAATTCAGCTGATCAGAAATGTCTATTATTACAAAAACAACCAGCAAGTTCTTGTAGGTTTTGTCTGTTTTTGTTAGTGTGTCGTTTCTTTCATGAAAACTCGTAAAAGTCACCAAAAGGTCACGCAAAACCCTGAGATGCTGAAGATCAAATAAACTTGTGCGAGAATGAAAAAGGCCTTTAAAGTCCTTATTTATGTTCTGTTAGCCTCTCTCAGTCAGTGTGACCCTCTTTGTTCCCTGATAAGACCTCCCCCATGTAAGGCCGGGACGGCAGCGCGGCGCTCTGCTCAGCCGAGTGTGAGGGAGATGCGCATCGTTTAATTGGACGGGGCAACTTAGTGACCTGGGACCGAGCCAAAAGCCAACTCCAAAAGCTCAGCGTCAGCTCGGCATTTACGGCTCTGCAGAGAGATAAAAGAGACAAAAGAGGCTGAAAGAGATGGATGGCAGCGAGGCGGGATGGAGGGTGAAACGAGGACAGCAAAAGAAGACGGGATGACCGGGTTGCTCGAATGTTTCCTCCAGAAAACTTTGTGACGTTACAGTTTAGAGGTTTTTGAAACGGCTCATTTTCCAGACACCAAAAAAATCTTTAGTTTACTGCCAAAATAAACTCTGGGCAGGTAAGACCCAAGCAGAAGAACAAAACCCTGCAAGAAGGGAGTTTTGTACAATAGGTCTCCTTTAAAATGCAATCAGTTCCGGCCTGGTTGCCAGATAAGTGGTAACAAAAAGCAAAGCAGCGTCTCAGTGGAGTCCCATAAAGCGTTAACGCACTGCAGCTGTCGCCAGAGAGAGGGGCTTTCCAAGAAACGTCCCTCCGTGAGTCAGACAGAGAATCTGTTGCTCCGCAGCGTTTTCCTGCACAATCATAGGAGATGAGGCCGTTTGTAGAGAAACCCCCCCCCCCTCCTTACCCCCCCCCCCACACCCCACACACACACGCACGCACGCACGCACACGCACACACACACACTCAGAGCTTCACGGAGATGGCAGCTGTGACTCAGAGTGTTGCAGCAACAGTAAGTGCATTTGAGTCAGGATTGATGCAGGAAGATGAAAACACATCCAGACTAAAACAAGTTATTTATCTTGCAGTCTGGCATTTACACAGAAACAAGGCAAAGCCGATAATTAGATGACTAACTTCACCTGCTGACACCGACTGAAGGTCGCAGAGATGTTTTTAACTTTACATCCATTCAAATGTTTTTGCTTCAGACTAAAGATTTTTAAATTTAGTTTTATGCAGAAAAACTCATTGATTGGATCACTGAATGCTAAAATTCAATACTTTATTAAACTCACATTACACACATTATTATTATGTTTTATTCCTATGCAGATGTCTTTCTCACAAAACTGCACTGGAAACTTTTTTTTCTCACATGACGAGTCATTGATCAAAAGCCAGATGTTACTGCTGGCAGAAACGCCAAAGAAGACAACAGGAAGCTTCTTCTTCGTGGTTTGTTTGGTTTTATGGACAATGTGCAGCTGGATCAATCAGAGCTGTCAGTTCATAGAAAGCTGTCGTTCCAACGCGTTGAATCCAGAGCTCTTCTGTGAAATTCTGCTTCTTCAACCTTAAACAAAGATTTCTGTACATTTGTAACGAAAGCGCAGCTTGTGATTGGTTTGATTCAGTTGGTGGTGACGCGTCACCAGCTCAGGTTTTCCCTCCATCTATAATGACTTTCTTGCTTCTGCTGTGTTTGAAAAGACGACAATTAATTACAAATGGATGAAAAAACAGATGCAAATCGCTCCTGATTGCAGGACGCGGTGGGTTTATGTTTCTGATTGCATGGATTTATTGCATCTCTTTGGTGAATGTGGTGCAGAAAAAAGGTAAATCCAACATTCATTTTGGGGATGAGAAGGAAATACATTCATGTAAATTCATGCAGGTGCTTCTTGGTACATAAAAAAAAACTTTTAAAAAATGTAATTATTTTATTAAAAATAAGTTTATTCAGGTAAATACATAAATAAATGAAATTTTACTAACTGAATTTGTTCACATGTAACAAACTAAAGTAGGATCTCTCTCTTTTTGTAATGAATTGTTCCATTTTTATTCACTGGTTAGTGCATACAGACATATCTGGGTCACTTTTTCACTTTATAATTTTCTGATTTTCTTTATTATATTTATTATTTTCTTTTTTCAGTATTGCATCCTCTTGTATGCCAGGGTCAAGGTTGGGTCAGAGGTCAGAAGTTCAGTCCAGCAGGAGGGTTTCAGTCCCAGTCCTGAACTCTTCTCCTCTTTTCAGTCGAGTCATAACGACGTTTTCAGTTCTCTGCTAACGCAGCTTCAACTTTAAGTTGTTTGAATCCAGAAGCAACAATATATTTACATCTCTCTCTCTCTCTCTCTGCAGGAGGCTGACTCTGAACCGGGTCGTGACCTTTGTCTTGCTGCTGTTCTCTCCCGGCTCCCTCGCCTCCCCGCAGGGCGTAAGTCCTCCCGCTCCCACGTCTCCATAAATCACAGCCTCGCCTGAAATAGCCGCTGCTCAACTGAGAATAGCCTGTCACCTCAGCTTCCTTTGAAACGAACACAGTTTCCATCCAACAAAAAGGCTTTTAAAGTGAAACTAACTGGAACCAAAACTAACTTCTGGGTTAATTATTCACAGCAATAGTTTGGATTATTTTGAGAAAGAAAGAAAAGAAGATTTATTTTTCAAAGTCATATTTTTGTCATGTTATTCATTCACTTATTTCATTTAATATCACAATCTCTAAGGTCCGATCAGATGAGTTGGGTTTTTCTGAAAATTGGTTCAGTTCTCCAAACTGCAACCAAAACACTTTTTCTGCACCACGAGTCACATGATCAAGAACTGGATGTTCAACTGGCAGAGACGATGAAGAAGAAGATGACAGGAAGTGATTGGAGGAAGATGCCACAGCGTGTTTTTAATCACTTACAAACAAACGTTTTAGTTCAGAGAAACGCCATAATTGTGTTTTTTGACATAAGCAAAAACCTGAGAAGCTCATTTGTGATCGACTGTTGGTTTCGGTTGGCTCTCGCCACTGAATGAACTATAAAATGGATCGGTAAGCGACGGCGGCCATTTTGTGACGTCAACGTTCTTCTTCTGCACATGCAGGTTATAAGCCGTTCACACCGAAGTCTGACTGCAGTCGCATCATTTAGCAGCATGAACAACCACTCAAAGAATAAGAAAATAAAAACTGAACATCAAGACCTGGTGACCCCATGGTGACCCCAACATGCCTTTCTTCGCTGTGTTTCTTGAAGCCCGATGTTTTTACACACTTTGACATTTTCTTCACTGTTTGGGAAGATAGTCTGAAATCCTCCGTCGACTCAGTTTGCCACGGTTTCAGTTGTTTTGTTGTTTTTTTGTTGGTTAAGCGTTTTGCCCTTTCAGTGCCAGGTTTGTTCTAGTAGCGTTTGTGAAAAGATGAGTCTGGTTCAGCTGTTTGAGCTGAAGCATTTACCTTTGCTCTCGTTTTTTTCTCCTCCGCTTCGTTCCCTATATGAAGTTTCTCTCTTCAAGCTGAGGAGGGAGAAGGAGTGAACTGCTAAGGTCAAAGGTTGCTTTCACTAATCTAGCAGGCCAGCTCCCCCCATCTCCAACTGTTATCAACGCTAATTTGAACGGGAGTAACACTAATGAGGGCAACCTCAAGAGACCCTGCCAAGAAATTATGGGGAGTCGCGGCACAAGTTGGGTTTCGGTGTGTTTGTGCAGAATGAGTCACAAAGTCAAAGATACTCAATTAGTTTGCTTCTTTCTTCTGCCTGTAGCTTTAATTTTAAAGGTCAGATGAAGTAACTTTTTGTTCTGCACAGACAGGTGGAAATTAGCGATTTAATAAACGATGACTTAAAGGGGACCTGCAATGCACACTTCACTTTTTGGAGTTTTTTTTTACTTCCATTGGGGTTTTTGCTGATTCTCAAAAAAAAAAAAAAAGAACACCCAGATGGTTTTTGGCAATAAGTTCTTGTATTTTGGTGGCCGGAAATTAAACCGTTTCAAAAACACTCAGGAATGTAAACAAATCAGCAGCCGCTGCCTGTTTCCCAGCAACCCCAGCAGAGTTCCGACCGTTACCTAGCAACCCCAGCAGAGTTCTGACCGTTACCTAGCAACCAAAGCAGAGTTCCGACCGTTACCTAGCAACCAAAGCAGAGCTCCAGCATGTTTGGTCAGCTGGTTTTACCGCTGTTCAATGGCTGCTGGAAAAGATAAGTGTTTTTTTTATCGACTTATCATCCAGAAACCACTCTCTGCATTCTGGTTGGCTGTGCAGGAGGCTCCACTTCTGCTTTTCAAAGAAGTATGGTTGTAATGTTGTGCATCTGTTAGCGGCCATTTTTACGTGTGAGAGTGAACATTGAATTGGAGGTGTGGTCAGCAGCAGCTTATTTGAATTTAAAGTGGCAAAACAGCTAATTCTGAAAGTTGTTAAAAAAAAAAGTCCAGAAAATCTCACAATCTAAGAATAATTTTGTGCAGAAATGTAATGAACATATTTTGTAGCCTGTATGTATCTCCTGACCTGTTGAAGGAAGTATAGCAGGTCATTTAAAGCTGAAAGGTTTTTAAGGTTTGCTGAAGTTGTGTTTAGAAGCTCTGGTACTTTACTTTGGTGGTTCAGGAAATGTCTCAGTCGTATTTAACGTTTTTCATTGTAAGAAAATCACATCATGTATAACTTTACCATGATTATAAATAAAAAAGACTCCATCGGCATCGGCCATCTGTGCTGGACGGGACAAATTTGCATAGGGATTCAATTGCAGTTTGGGCCGCAAAAAATCAGTTCAATTAACATTATGTTTTATCAACATAATGTTAATGTTGATAAAATCCAATTATGGTGCATTAAATAAGAAGCACAATTAAAATCACGTAAATAAGTTTGTTCACATGATAAGTTGTTAAATAACATCATCCTCCAATCCCAATAGAAAACTGCCTCATCCTGGTGAAAAACCTTTTTCTCAAAAATTCAGAGTTTTTTTTTCTTTCCAAAGGTGGCCTTTCCATTAAGCGAATCAAAAAGCCAATTTCATTCATGATTTCAATTTCATAACTCCAGTTTGTGCCGTTTTATGGTCATGGAAACGCAGCTACTGTTGAGTTTTGGCCAATGTTGTGTTTTGCATTATTTTTGGCATTTCCTCTTTCAGGAAGCAACATCCTTTTTATTTAGTTCATCAAAGGGCGTCTGTAAATGGATTTACCCAGCATTCAGTGCTTTTATAGGTGGGCTCTGCAGGACTTTATAAATGCTACATTTCACTGGTGGAGGGAATTAGAGGTTTGAATGAACTGCATAGGCTTTTTATTGGTTTGCACCCTGCTGGTTTTGTTAATTCCTTGCCTGGTTTTCATTGTATTGACTGCTCGTTTGACTCCAGCTCCTCCTGCAGCAGTCCTTGACGCAGTGAGCAAAGAGTTAAAAGTGTGTGTTCGTAGCGCAGCTCCTGTGTGAGGATCTGGTGGGACGGCTGCCAGTTTCACTCCTCCTCCAGGGCACAAACTCTGGAATGTGTTTGAGGAGAACCACAGAGATCTCTCTAATCACTTTTATTGTTTTGCTCTGCTGATCCTGATCCATCAGCCTCACAGGGCCGCTTTGTTATATTTAGTCCCATCCACCGTTTGAAGAGATTTATGTTCCTGTTCGATTCCTGGAGAAATATAAGGAAGGCTTTGTTGGAGCTCCGTCCATACCATCTCTCTCTCACAGAATGACATCCCATCAATCTGTGCCTGGTGTTTGCTGAGCAGTCATTACAGGCTGATGACAATCGCTATTTGCGTCATGACAGCTTTAAACACACAGGATGTCTCTGCAGGTTGATGCTGCTGAGTGACAGCATGCACAGAACAGAAAGCAGGAAGAAAGACATGAAAATGTAGCTATTGTGGACTTTTGACGACTGTCTTCCATAAATGCCTCATACTTTTCTCCACCTGAGCTGAAAATATCTGCAGCTCCTCCAGATTCACTGTTTATGAAGGAGGAAATTCTTCAGTTAGTTTGATGTGAAGCGTATTAGACAGAAAATATACATATATTTGTTTAAAAAATGGTTTTAGAATAAACTGAATTTTTCTCTAGAAAAAATTCTATTTGAGAAATTTTATAGAAAAACCCCAGAAGAAATTTTCGAGATTTTCTGTCAATAATTGATCACTTTTGACTTTTGAAATGTCCAAGTGTTTACCAGAAAATGTTTGAGATTAATTTCAAAATTGATGTTTTTTTTCTAGCAATTTTATTTTATTTTTCTAGAAACTCTGAGATCAATTTCCAAATTTGTCTGAATTTTTTAGTGGAAATTTATTTCTCATCTTTTTTTATTTTTTCTATATATCTTTTCCTTAATGTGGTGTCACAGCTGGACGGCATTTTATATTATAATGTTCCAGGGTGTAAAATATATTCTGCAAACCTGATGATAATCTGAGAGACAACTAACAACATGCTGGGTGAAATATATCTAAATTGGGTGCAACTGACTCACCTTTTCTCTAAATTGTCAATTCAGACTAAATAATGAAAATGTTTCAACATTTGTCTCATGTTTTATTGACCGTTGTGTTTGGGCTCTCTGATGCTTCAGGCCTCTTGGAGTTCGGGGTGGGGTCCAGCCAGTGACGCCTCATCGGGGCGTCCGGTGCGCGCCCGACGGCAGCTGCACTTCAGGAACGAGTGGGCGGCGTGGAGCGGCTGGTCGGTTTGCTCCCGCAGCTGTGGGGGCGGAGCCTCAGTGAGAACTCGCACCTGCATCACCAGGTAATGATCTGGTCTTCAGCGAATTTTCTGTTGGAGGTTTTAGTAAATATCAATTATTATTATTATCTTTGGCCGTCTTGAGGTGAAAAAAAATAGTTTTTCTGGATTTAGTAATAAAAAAACTTCAACATTTACTCAGTGAGATTAAAATCTTTCATCACATGTTGGTTCAGGATGAACTTTTAGAATATTTAAATGGAGTCTCCTTCTTTTTCCTTTCTCTGGAAAGCAGTTCCACAGCATGATGGACCCTCCGCCGTGCTTTAAGAGGGACGTGTTATGCAAAATTATCCCCCAAAAAGCCCGAGTGCTTAAAAACACCCGTCTTCAACTTTTGGCAATAAGTTGAAGGTTTTCATTTCATTTCACTTTGGGATCAACAAAGTATTTTTGAATTTTTGTGTTTCAAAAACCTCCAGGATGTAACGTCACCTATCACCAGGCGCTGCCCATTACCCAGCAACCCAACTGAACCCAACAGAACTGATCAGACTAAAATCTCATTATCCAAGAATAAGTTTGTGCAAAAACATGGAACCAAAAGTGCAATATTTGTGGTAATAAGTTGTTTCTGTGTGTGCAGGAATCCGGTGGGCGGACCGTGTGCCGGAGATCCCAGACAGTACAAGATCTGCAACACCAAGGTCACTGCAGCTCCAGGGTTTCCTCCCTCAGAGAACAACTGTGAAGCGTCTTACAACAATGGCCGATGTTTGCTTTGCAAATTGGTCTCATAGGCGTGTCTGAGACGTTTCACTGGTGCAGCAGCTCGAGTTTTCACACTTCACCCTGGACTGGCGACCATGGACAGGTCGCCAGTCTGACGCAGGGAAACACAGAGAGAGAAACACACACACACACACACACACACACACACACACACACACACACACACACACACACACACACACAGCTAGGGAGAATTTAGAGAGCCCAATTAACCCAACAGTCATGATTTTGGACTGTGGGAGAAAGCCGGAGTACCCAGAGAGAACCTATGCATTCACAGGAACAACATGCAAACTCCATGCAGAAAGACCCCGGGCCGGGAATTGAACCCAGGACCTTCTTGCTGCAAGGCAACAATGCTACCAACTGTGCCACTGTGCAACAACCAAATCTCATATTTTCTGAGGTCCTATAACTTTTGCAGGGGGGAGCTGTAGCGCCCCCTGCAGGTTCATTCTGAAGACGATCACCAGGATGTTTCAGCGTCTTCATGCTGCATGTCTGTGTCTGTGCAGGGGTGTCCTCCTGGCTCGGAGGACTTCAGAGACATGCAGTGTGCTGCGTTCAATGACCGGCCGTTGGTGTCCGGAAACTCCTTCAGATGGACAACGTTCCACGGAGGTCAGCAAGAAAATATCGACCTGAGCAGCCATCTTGGATTCTACAAATATTACAACCTAACACTACAATACAGCAACTAAAACTGTCTTCTGATTGGTCCCTTAGATCTGTTATCATCCAATCAGCTGAAAGCATAAAGACTGATGTTATGCAAAGTTTTCAGAGTATTTTTGGTCTTGTTCCAAGTGGAAATGTCTTAGTACCTTTGAAATAAGACTAAACTAAATTAAAAGTAACTTTTCACCGAGAAATTGGATCTTGTTTGAAGTTAGTAATTTCTTAATATTGATTAAAAGTATTTGTTCCCTATACATATTATTTCACTTATGGAAAAATGTCTTAAGTGAAATAATGTGACCACACACACACACACACACCCCCACACACACACACACACACACACACACACACACACACACACACACACACCCACACACACACCACACACACACTGTAAAAACTGAGTTATTTTTTTTACTATGAAATCAAAATGAAAAAATTACAAAATGTGTAACTCAATTTTGAATTGAGTTACAAAATTAGCTAAATGTTTGAAGATGTTTCACCTGTTTCCTTTTGCACTTTTTCATCTGTGTGTTTTTAGATTTATGGTTTTGTTTGATGATTCGTTGAAATGTTTGCACTTCAGAGCCACTGCAGGAGTCACATTTTCCCAAGTTGAACAAAACTGAACGGTTTCTGCAGATATTAACATCTTTTTTAAATTTCTAATGTGCATATGAATCGTTTCTACGTGGACAATCCTTCATTTCACAACCGTTTGGTCTCACTTTACCAACTTGATTTACAAGTACAAATTAAATTTAGCACAAACCGTTCTGTCTGATGCCATCAATCAGCGATAAAACGATTCCTCAGATCTGATTTCAGATCTGTGAAATGTATTCTTGCAGCTGGGAAGTCTTGAAAGCTCACAGGTGTCTCCTGCTGCAGGTGTTATTGTGATTTTCGACCTTGTCTGCCAGTTTCTTCCAGATCTTTCCCACTTCTCGTTCCCATTTTCTGCATTTTATGTGTCTCTCTCCCTCCAGTCCTGTTTCCTTTTATCATGTCTTGTTCCATAAAGACGAATGATTTACTGACTGCAGCTTTTCCCTGCCAGGCTCCGGCCCCTGTGAGCTCAGCTGCCTGGCGCTGGGACACAACTTCTACTATAACTTTGGTCACGTTCTGGACGGGACGGCCTGCGACCCGGAAGCCGGAGCTGTGTGTGTCAACGGACGCTGTCTGGTAAATGACAACAACACCTGGATGTTCTTAATCCCAGTTTCACATGTTATTGATCAAAAATAAATGTCATAAATCCAGTCAAAAGTGCTCTGGGCTAAGAAAATAAAAATAAAATCAAGCACAGAAATAATATAATTTTATCTGTTTTTTAATAGGAAAAAGGATCTTGCATGTTTCCTATTGAAAAATATAATAATTATAAAAGGATTTGGGTCACATTGATCCAAAACGCTTTTTACATTTGGCCAAGTTTTAATTACATTAAATTATTTAGGTGCAGCAAATGCAGCTCTCCTGTAAAAATATTTGAATTAAAACTAAAATATTTTGATTTATACTCACCATTTTCCATTGTAGGATAAAAATATTTATAATTTTACTCCATATGTATAAACCATGTGCACTGAACAAAGAATCTTTGTTTTTGTCCTGAAGCTCTGCACTGCAAAAACAAAATATTACCATTTTTTCCTACTTTCGAATGCAAATATTTTACATTTGAAATAACACTAGACTAATTTAGAAGTAACTTTTGAACAAGAAATAAGATCTTGAACTATTTAATCAATATTTTGGAATATTTGGGGCCCATATTTGGCTGAAAAGTTACTTGTAAATTACGTTTGTCATATTTAAAGTATGTTAAGATATTTGTACTAGAAACTAGACCCAAATTGCTTGATAAGGTTATCTACTTTTGCATCAGTTTATTCTTTGCTTTAGGTTTCATTTAAATATTTATTGATTTCATAACTCAGATTGTTTGCTTTAGAAATAAACTGTAACTTGACTGCTTGAGAAAACTGTCTGCTGCATTCAGTGTTATTTAGTTTTCATGCCTCTGTTTGAACTGAAAAGGCTCCATCTGCGAGTCGCCTGAGAGAAAAACAAGCAGCTCTTCTCCTTCTGGAGTTAAATGCAGGTTATTCTCACACAGATGGAGAAGGCTGGAGATGAACACGCATCTGCTGCACAATGCGTAATACTCAGGAGAGACGTCTGCTAGCAGAGGGGACACACAGCTGAGCGCCGGGACTTTGGAGTCTCTGTGTTTACACACATCGACGTGTGTGTTTCTGGGCATGCTCTCTGTGGCATTTGGTGTAAATGAGTGGATTTATGGGCAGGGAGAGGTCAGCGCAGCAGAGGCTGCAACAGGAAGCAGATGTAGCCTGCAGCTGGTGTTGAGGAGCTCGGGTCAAAACGTGACATCAGCCTGAAGAACACATGACTGCTTCAGAAAGGCTGCAGCGCATCCTCAGTGCTAATCTAAAAATGTTAGCATATCAGCAGAAACCTGCACAGCACTTTTTCTCCACAGCACAGATGTACAGTTGTGAACTATATTGTGTTGATCTATCACATACAATCCCAGACAACATGCGTTGTTTGTGGTCGTTATGAGATAAAATGTAAAGTGTGTCTGAAAGTAGCAGGATTTCTAAACTCTGCAGCAAAGTAAACAGAAAGGATCCCAGAACCGCAGCTGGAGGCATTTAGAATATATAATGGATATACAGTCGGGAAAACAGTTTGCTTCTCAATTCAGAGAGTTTATTCCACACTTTTAACTTCATCAGCCCAGAAAATGAACCTTTGCTCAGTTATTTACTGGCTTGCTGGCTGTTTTACTGAGGCCCAGTGTGTTCTGTGCTACGACATCACCAGCAGCTCATTTCCTGTTGTGCTCACACAGACTCTCAGGGTGTTTTGTATCTTCAAAGCATCTTTCTAAGGATGATTACAGGTTCTATAGATTGTTGCTCTCGGGCCTGAGAACCTCCCCCTTGATTAACTCGCTCTGCAGAGATGAAGGCGAACCAGGAGAGCAATCATCGCTCCTGCTGCAGGATGCTCCACAGGCTATAAACCATCCAGCTCATCCTCTTTGTGTTTAGCTTTGACATTTTTCACATTTTAAAAAACAATCTCTTCAAACTCTTGCACCCCAGAAATGTTGTTTTTCCCCAAATGTTAGCTGGAAATGAGGAAATACAATATCAGAGGGGCAAACAAGCCGAGCCTGAGGGGAGGCTCACTTGGCAGCATCAAAGCTGAGTGCACTGTAAAAACACAACATGCAGCCAAATATCTGCTGTGGTTTCTAGTGTCAACATATAGTGCACTTAAAATAAGACTAAACTAACTTCCATGTAACTTTTCAGCAAAATATATGAGCTAGTTTTTATTAACAACTCTTGAATATTGATTTAAAAGTACCAGGTCCACTGGTAGATTATTTTCACTCATAACAAGACATTTTTCTGTGTTGTAACTAGTCATTTTTATTCATATTTAAGAATCATTAACTTAAAACAAGCTAGTATACAAATCTCACCAAGTATTTTTGGTCTAGTTTCTACTACAAATATCTGAATACACTTGAAATAAGACAAAACCAACTTGGAATAAATTTTCAGCAAGATATTCAAGTTTGTTTTAAGTCAGTAATTCTTTAATATTGATTTAAAAAGTACTAATTTTCACTTATAAAAGTCATTGGTCTACCTTTTAGTGGAAATTTCTCAGTACATTTGAAATATGATAAACTTAAGCAAACTTAACTTGTTTTAAAACTATAAATCCTCAATTTAGATCAAAAAGTTGTTACACTGGCAGATATAATGTTGAATATTGTAAGGAATTGTTGACTTAAAACAAGCTCCTATGTCACTAAAAAGTTACTTTGTAGGTTAGTTTAGTCTTACCTCAGGTGTAGTGAAACATGTCCAGTAGGAACCAGTCCAGAGTTTTTGCAGTGATTGAGAGGTTTCCCGTTTGTGTGACCCGCAGAAGCCCGGCTGCGACTCCATCTTGGGTTCGACGCAGCGGGAAGATGCCTGCATGGTGTGTGGAGGGCACAACACCACCTGTCTGCAGCACAAGAGTGTGTACCAGAGCAGCGGGCTGGAGGCAGGTAGGACACACACACACACACACATGCACATACATGCACACACACACACCCACACACACAAACACACACACACACGCATTCATACCACACACGCCATCATGCCTTTCTGTCTCAGAAATATGAGGATAATTCCTGCTTCTCGTCTTCCTTTCACACCTAACAGCTATTAGTCATTCAGGCTTATGTAGCAGAGAGTTATTAGCCGACTGAGTGAATATTAACCATGGAAACAGCTTTGCAACACAAAGGTGATTGGCTGCTTTCCCAGAAGGGCTCCAGCTAACGGCAGATTTAAAATGACTGTGGTTAAGATTTCAGGGAGGAGGAGCAGAAAAATCTCCCAGCAGTTCTGGCTTATTGCCACCGAAACATTTTTACCTGCACTAGCACCTGCAGGTTCACAGATAATATCAGGTCTGACTGCATGCAGTGGAGAAAACTAAATGTTTTTCTTTCCTTGTATCCATCTGCAACAAGCCTCGTACAGGAAATAATAACAGCTTCAGGCAAATAGTGACGAGTGATTGAAGTGTTATCGTTTACAAGCTGAATGCTATAAATTTTATAGCGCCTTGTAAACCAGGAGAAATCATTGTCAAAATGATGACATTGTGTGATGATGGTGTATTAACTTATTGCAATATTAGGATTATTTTTCTTTTTTTAGCCGCGGTGATAAGAACCTGCAGGGTTTTGTATGTTGAAGCTGCAGAAGTTTTAGGTTTTTGGGGATATTTAGGATGATGTCATCTGCATAGAAGAGATCGTCTTCGCCTAACTGAGTCATGTCGATGCGTTTGTGAAGAATCAGAGGCAAAGATGATCCAATTTTCACTCTAGGTTCTTCAAACACCATTATTTGGCGGTATGTTTTTAGTAGCTTCACATTTATTAAAGCTGGTTAATGTTTAGATCATTCATCAGTTTGCAACTACAGGAAAATAATTTCTTCTCTATTCCATAAGCTGCCAGTGGATGTCCTAAATTTACTAAAGCAATTGATGAAAATTAAACCAAATATTTATATGAAAGTGCATAAAAATGTGGTTTTAGGCATATAGAAGTGCCAACAGTATAGAAATAACTGTGTCCGTCTGTAAACATTTAACGGTTAAGATTTAGTCACACATGATGTTTGCAAAGCTTCAGAGACTTTTACAAGTCAAAGTTAAATGTTTGACAGAAGAGTTTAACTTCCAGAGCTGGAAGTAAAACAGGAGCAGAATCTTGTTAACATGATCAAACTCATCATCATAATGAAGAATTGTTTCTGCTTCTGTTTCTGTTACTAAAGCTTGTGTCTTTATTTGCCAGGCGGGCCGTTTGGATACAACGAGGTGACGATGATCCCGGCTGGAGCCACTCACATCCGAGTCACCGACAACAGCAGGAATTATCTGGGTAAGAGATATCTCTGCTCCCTTCACACGCTTTAAAACTTATTATTACATCTGTTCCCCAGAGACCGGCGAGCGGCTCTCTGTCCGTCTGCTTTCTGCACCGGGCTTCTTCTTTCCGAGTAACATAATCGCTAAGGTTATCTATTCTCATCGCTGTGTTGGCGACGCAAATAAAACAGACCCAGAATGGCACACGCTGTGGTTTGGAAGGGATGCAGAGCAGGTGGAGGTGCCTGTTTTCACCTGCTGCTATGGGAACCGCCTCAAACAACCGCCTTAAATAACCGCCTTAAATAACCGCCTTAAATAACCGCCTTAAATAACCACAGGATTATTTGTTGCTCTGTCACCCTGAAATCTTTAACGGTTTAGCCTGAAAAATCCATCATAAGAAGCATTTGAATCGGTTTGCATGAATACTCAGTAACTCCATTCACTGTTATTGATCACACAGCGCTGCAGAACGGTCGATCCCAGTTTGTGATCAACGGAAACTGGAAGATCAGCGTTCCTGGTGAGTACAGCGTAGCTGGGACCAAGCTGCTGTACCGGCGCTCTGCAGACATCTGGGAGAGCTTCGAGGTGCCAGGACCGACCCAGGAAGACCTGCATCTGATGGTGAGAGCCGGTTCACTAAGCAGGGCATTTGTAAACATAAGAATCAGGGATGCACTGATTTTAGGAGATCGGTGGTCGGCCGATACTTAGATTCACTGACATGTGAAGCCGATCTTATTCACCTCAGCAAAGATATTTGGTGTGAAAATAAAAACTGTTAAACCAAACTACAGAACACAAACAGCTAAAGGATTAAATGTAACTACAATTATTTATTTCTTAGGTAATTTACTTAGTTTTGAATGAAACAGCTCCATTTTCTTGCTAACAATAGGACAGAAAATACAATGTAATAAAAAAAAAAATCCCTCATTGCCCCTTTGTGGGGAAGTTCAGAATTATCAGCAGAGAAGTAGCAGGAAAAATGGAAGCATGCTAATTCACAAAAAGATATATATATATATATATATATCTATATATATATAGATGTAGATATCTATATAAATATATATATATATATATATATATATATATATATATAGACACAATAGCATATATAAATACAATAAAACTCTGCAGACCAGGAACAAATGTACAACATCAGAAAACAAGTTGGCGTTCTCAGATCAAACACAATTACTGTCATAATTATTGGTTCGCTGTTTGGTTTCACTGATTGGTCATCTGCTGAAGTATCAGGTCCCATAAAGCGCCACCAGAACAAAGAGCTGATTTTACCCAGGGAATAACAGCAGGCTTATGGGAATTAAGGAGAATCTGTGGCGAGCGTAAACTTTAGTCTGCTTAATTCAGACTAGAACAATGAAAACGCTGAGCTTCAGCTTCCTTCTTCTCTCATCTTCCTGCTGGTTTTTTGTGCTATTTGACTCACCAGTTTAGCTCAAAACTGGGTCAGTTTCTCCCATTTGTTTTTATAAACTCAAAACGGAGGTCAGATAAACCAGCATTTATAAACTGTACCGTTGATATTAATACGTTTGTTTGCAGACGTAATAAGACCATAATTTGGAGAGAGAAAGCCAAATCCAGGCACCGCTGTCCTCCATGGAAACCATTTCTGGAATTGCTTTGCAAGAAAATTTATTTTTACAAATGCGAACAACATTAAAGTCGCAGTAACTTTAATGAAAAATATTGTTTTACATATTTGTAATGGCAGTATGGTATAAGACAAGTAATCTGTGAAAAATCAAACTCCTCTACCTTCCCCCAGTGCTATACAGAAATAACCAATCAGAACGTGGAGGTGGGTCTTTGTGCTGTCAATCATGCCTGTGGGCGTGCTGCTTATGATACAGCTTTCCTCCGTCAGCACAGCCTGTGGTTTCTGCTCAGGCTAGTTAGCATAGCCACAGATGATGGAGCATAAACAGTTTTCTTGTAATGGCAAGTTATTTTTCCACCATTAGCATATTTAGCGGCATGTTCACAAGGTTGATTAACAGCACTAAAACCCTCCTACTGGCTCCGATTGGTTGCTTTTGGTCAGGAGCAATGCGTTTCTTCATCTTATCTGTTTCATATTGTCACAATATAGTGACAGTTTTGACAAATATGTAAAAATATATTTTTTATAAAATTTACATAAAGCAACTTTAAAGCCTTTAGTTTTAATCCATTTCAATCCATTGTACGAAACCAGAAACTCCAACATTAGCACTTCCAAGATCTGCACTCTAAACAGGAAGTTATTGGTTAGTTGTTTGGTTGGTTAACATATTTACTAATTTGTAACTGATTTGTTGATTTGTTTTTGCTTCTTTTTAAACGTGATTCTGCTTCTTGTGTCCAGGTTCTGGCGACAGACAGAAACCCAGGAATCGAGTATGAGTACTGGCTTCCACCGGACCAGTACGCCCTGCACCACGGCAGGAGGAGCCCTCTGCGACAGGCTCACCACACAGCCAGCTACTTCCCCAGAGGACAACCCACCACTCCAACCACGACCTCTGCCACGACCCCCAGGGCACCGCCCCGGCCGCCGCCCAGCACCGCCCGGAAACCCCACTGGTGTGAGTTAATAGACTGAGGCATGCATGCTCTCACAAAAGTAGAAAGAATGGATCAAACACTGAAAAATAAAAATAAGAAACGACACAGTGAAGGCAAATTTACAAAGCAAAAAACTATTTTGCAGTTATTAAAAAGGTATTTTCAAAGAAATGTGCATGAGATTTTAAGAGAACATATTTTGCAAAAGTCTGGTTTTGCATGTCTTTGTACTTTGGGCCTTTGCTGCTTCAAAACACAACCCAGGTGCTTAAGCAAACATCCAACTGGGTTTTGGTGTCTGGAAAATGAGATGTTTCAAAAACCTTCCATAACAATCAGCAGGTGCTGTCCTTTAGCTAGCAACCCCAGTGATACCTAGCCCGTTAGCCAGCAACCCCAGTGAAACCTAGCCCGTTAGCCAGCAACCCCAGTGAAACCTAGCCCGTTAGCTAGCAACCCCGGGGAAACCTAGCCCGTTAGCTAGCAACCCCAGTGAAACCTAGCCCGTTAGCCAGTAACCCCAGTGAAACCTAGCCCGTTAGCTAGCAACCCCGGGGAAACCTAGCCCGTTAGCTAGCAACCCGAGTGAAACCTAGCCCATTAGCTAGCAACCCCAGTGAAACCTAGCTCATTAGCTAGCAACCCCAGTGAAACCTAGCCCGTAAAGCTAGCAACCCCAGTGAAACCTAGCCCGTTAGCTAGCAACCCAAGCTGAGCTCTAACGCGTTTGGTCAGTTGGTTTTACCAATGTATGTTCTGCACAATGGCTGCTGGGAAAGACAAGCATTTTGTTTTTGACCCGCATCTGGAAACCATTTGCTGCATTCTTGTTAGTTGTGCAGGAGGCTTCATTTCTGCTTTTCAAAGTTGTACGCTTATGCATCTGTTTGCAGCCATTTTCTTCAGCCATATCTAAAAGCACAACAATAGATTCCCTGTATTTTTACATAGGATGAGGACCAGAGCTGCCAGCAGGTAGATAAAATCCACAGTCATTGCACCAAACTTCCCAGGCTACATTTCATGATACTTCAGCAAAGTTCTCTTTAAAAAGCTATGAATGGGTGAACTTTACACCAGTAATTTCTGGTTATGTTGCACAGAAAAACACTTTTCTTTTCCAGCAGCCATTGTACAGAGCATACAGCGGTAAAACTGGCCAAACGGGCTGGAGCTCCTCTTGGGTTTCTAGGTACCGGGTTAATCTTTGCTGGGGTTGCTATGTAACGGGGACAGTGCCAGCTGATTTCTGTTGTTTTTTAATCGGCTCATTTTTCAGACACCAAAAAGCATCAACTCATAGTCAAAGAAAAGACTGTTGTTCTTTAAGTGCTTGTGTTGTTTTTAAATGAAAGTATAAAAGCTTGCAGAATGTGAATTTTGACCAATCCGCCCCTCTTTCAGAGCCATTCTTTAATGTCCACAGAACAACTTTCAGCTCTGCAGCTGCAGGTTGATCTTTCTGAGAGGAAACCTCAGAGCCAAGATCACATTGGTTCCAATTATTGTAATTGCACAAATTAGAGAGAGCCCATTTGGGTTCAGTGTGTGAAAACATCCGTAGTGATTCACCTTTACCCTGCTGCTGATCTGCACGCTGACCTCCCCGATTCAGAGGAGCACAGCTGCGAAATCTGCACTAATAATGTGAATTTCAAACACGCTGGACGCCTGTTCACCTCCCCGATGTTCCTGAACCGCACGGAAATCAGCTCCCAAACCAAAGATGCATCCATGAATCTCAGTAGCGTGTTGGAAAATCCTTTCCAGCTGGTGGATCGCAGCCAAACTGAACCCATCTCAAATTGTTGCCAGAAACGTAGAAAAAGGTGAGACTGGAAGCGGATTCATGAGGTCGGATGCTGCAGTCGTCCTAAAGTATAACTCTGAGATGAGAAAGCTCCGCGAATCCCTAAAAACAATCAACAATGTCTTCTTCAGTAATACTTTTCTTTTGTTCTTTGTTTCTTGCTTGAAAACATGTGCAGTGAAACTGTTTTGAAAAAGTTTCCGGCCATATTAGCTTGTGACGCCGCTGTCATAAAACCTGCCAGTTGCATTAATTCTCTCCGCTGTTGCTCTAAAACATGTCATTTCAGGACAGTCGATATAGTTCATGAATTCTCCTCGGATGAATTACCTTTATTTATTATGTGTTCTTTCTGTTTTAACCATTTATATCTGCGCAGAATCGTTCACAGCAACGCAAATGCAAAAGTCTTCCTATTTGTCCTACAGACGTTCAGACTGTAATGCGTTATATTGGGATTTCTCGTGAAAGGCAAAGAAAACATTCTTAAAAAGTGGAAGGAAAATATTCAATTCGGAACATTTTTCTCAGGAAGATCAGAGTCAACAACAAAACACTTGTCTTTTCCAGCAGCCATTGTACAGCGAACAACGCCTGTACATTGTTTTTGTTTTGCTCAGCAGTGAAACCAGCTGAGCATGCTAGGTAACGGGACAGCGCCGGCTGATTTGTGAAGTTACTTTCTGGACTTTTTTCAATCGGACAGAAAAAAGTTAGGTGGGTTTTTTGTTAAGCGCTTTTGTTGTTTTCAGGATTAAAATGCATAAAAAGTATAAGAGCCAATAAATTCCATTAATATCACTTAGTTATTGTATTGTGACAGAAAAAAAAGTTGTTTTTTTCTCAGAAATCCTTGTTATCAGAACAAAGCAAAGTCCTGCTCTGTCTCAAATAAAACTTAAAAATAAAACAGCCAGGTATGGAATATTACTCAGTGGCATCATCCATCCTCTCCTTATTAAGAGCAGGACAAAGCACATGGTTTCTCAAGTGTCACTGATGTCTTGATCCACAGGAAGAAGAATCTAAAACACAGAACTAAACAGGCAGAAAGTGACTTCATGTAAGAAAACATGACAAATTAATTATCCAACAACAACAATCCTGAAAAACAAAAGAAAGAAGGAAAAACAGAGAACTGTAATAGATTAAATTTGAAAAAGAAACAAGTTTTACAAATTAAATTAAAGTATGAGCAGTTGGTGGGCAGATCGATCCAAATGATTGCTTTCAGATGATCTGCAGTTTGTAGTTCACGCAAAGTTGTTTGTTTTCTGTCTTCCAGTTTTAAATGATCTGAATCCTCAGCGTCGCCCAGATCCCGCCCACAACCCGCAGCAGCCAATCAGCCGCCTGGAGCGCGAGGAAAGCCACAGAAACCTCCTTCCTCAGGCGCCGCCCGGAAGTACGAGCGCCGCCTCCACAGCAGCTCTTCAAAATGTTGCTTTATGAAGTTCTGCAGAAACTCAGATGAAACTGAAATATGGGCAAAAATGAACAACATTTGGGTTATTCAAGAAAACATCATTTTAACCAGGGGATTTTTTAAATGTCAGTTTCAAACTAAATATTCTTCTCCAAAGTAAAAATGTAGTCATAGTTAGCTACAAACTAAGTAGTTATTTTTCTTTTTAGCTTGTATGCAGTTTGCAAAACAACTAAATTCAGTAAACTAAATATTTAGTTTGTCAGCTGAACTTTTAGTCAGAAGCTAAAGGTTTAGCCAGCAAACTAAATATTCAGCTCCAAACAAAAATATGCAACAAGCAAAGTCATATATCCAGCTTCAAAAAAATATTTGGCCATCAAGCTAAATGTTTAGCTTCTATTAAATATTTTGTTTGCAAGATAAATATTTATTTGAAGGAAACATTTTGCTTGCAGCTGGATATTTGTGTGAAAACAAAAAATTAGCTTTTGGCTAAATATTTAGTTTGCTAATTAAATGTTTAGTTTGATACGGGAACTCTTATAAATTAATGAAGAACATGGTGAAAATGTGACTTTGAAAAATGAATCCCCATTATTTTCCTTGCAGACTAAATAAGCCAAATTAAAGCTGTTACTTTTTGACTGTAACTTTATCAACAACAGACTCACATGCATTTAGTGAAATAAAACTTTTCATTGCAGACATGTTAGTTTCAGGATGTCAGGGCAAACAGCCCTGGAGATGTTTGATCAACATGCCTGATGGCCTTCTGACTTTCTAACTTTACTTCTTGGTTTATTCTTCAGAGAATTGTGGAAAATGTCAGAGAGTTAAAGGACGAAGGGAACGCCAGAGACAGTATTGCAAAAAGGACTTTGGTAAGGACTTTGGGTTTGGAGTTTATCAATTATTTAAAGCGTTTCTCAGTTAAAACATCAGACAGATGATTCCTCCAGTGAGAAAAGCCTTACAAACATTTAGAGACAACGGCACCGTTTGGCTAGTGCAGCAGAGACGTGAAAAGATTTCTTTCCAAGTTCAGTTCCAACTTTAAGCACCGAAATGAAAAATATCGGTTAGATACTGACACTATCGTTAGATACTGACTCCCCATAACCCCACTCTTTAACTTAAACGGAACTTAAACGGAACTATCCAATAGAAATCGCCGTTTCTTCTTTATTTCCGCGGCAGTGTTTCGTGGCAGAGTTCAGGGGAAGCTGTACCGGGGCGAGGAGACGCGCTACGACGTCCAGATCATCCACACGTACCGGAACCGCTTCCGGCTGGAGCACCGCGAGTTCCTGTGGGTCCCGAACCTGTGCGACTGCCCCGACCTGCAGCCGGGGAAGCAGTACGTCCTGATGGCGCGGCGCCACATCAACTACGAGCGCACGCTGAACCGCATCCTGCTGGAGGAGGACAGCTACGTGGTTCCGTACCGGCCCAGAGAGGACGGGCAGCTGCGGCCGCTGCAGAGGCTCTGCAGCAACAGAGGGATGAAAAGTCCAGCACAAACAGACGGGCTGGTGTGATGTGAGCGCCAGGCGCAGACTGATGCGCCATCTTGTTGGTTTCATGCGTGAACTTTAAAACCTGATGAGCTGAGCGGCATCACTGGAGGAGGAAACGGGAACTTTTCAGGTTTTAGGCTGAAATCTGCAGGGCCGGTCCAAAGCAGTTCGGGTTGAGGGCTGATTGGGGCCCAAACACCACCAGGGGCTGCCAACATCAATAAAAATATATTTAAAAATAATAAAACTACATTTTATTACATGTGGGAAACAATTTTATTTTGTTTAATATCATTAATATCATATTTTGTTTTCTGCTGCCTCTGTTGGGGAAATATGAAGTTAAATTTGTCAACTTGTTTATTGTAAATTTAGTGTCAGCTAAAGTTACTTTTAAATAGTTAAAATTTAAAACACACTTAAATACACTGCAAAAACAAAACATCTTACCAAGTATCTTTCATTTAGTTTTTAGTGCAAATATCTTTGACCACTTCACATAAAACAAAACAAACTTTTCAGTTAGTTTTGTTTTAGTTTTGTTTTATGTTGCAGCTAGCTCAGGCTAGCTGCAACATATAGGAGATTATTTTAAGTCAATAATGCTTTAATTAAAAACTACTTGTTCCTTTTGCTGATTGTTTCATTTGTAAAATGGGAAAAAAGTCAAATAATCTGCCAGTGAAACTCAAACTTTTTTTCATCAATACGAAAGAATTATTCACTTGCTGAAAAGATATTTTTGTTTTATTCCAAGTGAACTAAAATATTTGCACAGAAACTAGACAAAAATACTTGGTAAAATTTTGTGTTATTGCAGTGTACAACTATTCATTTCAAAGTCTAAATAATTTTTTAGTTTGCTGCTCCTGTAGGGTAAAAAACAACAGCCATAGTGACAGCGGTATATGATGTGAGCTAATTACGAATGATGCTAATGTTAGCAGCACAGGAGTAAAGAATCATCTGATGTTGACATGTAGGTCTGTGCCCTTCCCAAAAGAAAAATCAGCTTAGGGCCCTGAAAAGTCTTGGACCGGCCCTGGAAATCTGACACATTCTGAATGCAGAGAACGAACGCCATGGTTATTTAAGAGAGGTTTAAAGCACTTTAGGTGGGAGCGACGCGACGCCCACCTTAAACAAAAACCAAAGAGAAGGACAATTGTGACTGAAAACAACCTTTTTCTCACCAGTGTTTTTCCACAGCAACCTCTTGGTTCCCGTTCTGTATTTGTCTCGTTATCCACTTTTAGATTCAGCTGCAATGAGTTTCCTTCCTGCGTCACATTACCGATGTTGTTGTTGTTTTCACTTGTTTTGCAGCATATATTTGCAGAAGTTGCAGCAGTAAATAAGGATAAGTCTGGAGTTTTTATACAGTTTTTGCAATTGAGCATTTTTTGGCTAATTCGAACCAAACAACAGACTTTGGCTCATGGAAAAAGTTTCTGCTGACATTCATGAGGCTGGAGATACTTTAACAAGGCAGAAATGCACTTTCCACTCAGATGGATGTTAGTTTGTAAACTGATCTCACTTTTAAAAAGGCTAAACGTGACACAGATGACTTCCACTCGTCCCCTTTGTGCTTCTATTGATATATTCGTGGAATGATTATAAAGAATTGAGCTTTAACAAGATTAACTTGTGCAGAAATGAGATTTTCCTGCAGGTTTTTTGTAATCCCACACAGGCTCGGCTGCGCCTTGTCCTGGCTGGTGCCAGCGGTTATAAAATGTCTTCTAAGTTGACGAGGTGAGACGTTTTAACCTGAGGTTAATGATCACAATTGAGTGTACTTGATTTTTATTTCCTTTGCAGCATAAAACTGATGGAAAAAGTTCAATTCAAACAGCTCCACTGCTGGGGAAAAACCAAGGATCCAAGAAGATGCAAAACAAAAAACCCACAGATTGAAATCTGCAGCTGCATAAATGGAGAAACTAAACATTCATGATGACGTTAGATATTAACTGTTAATAACGTCTCAATATAACTGAGTTTTCTCTTTACGAATCAGGAAAATGACCTGGAAGTTTCTCATAAAAATAACTTTCACTGCACCTTAGTAAGGTTCTTTATGAAAGCAAACAGAACAATTTATGGCATCTTTTACAAAAGATTTCATTCATTCTCAAATGGACTTCTTTTTTCTGACAGATTTCGTCTAAAACTTTCCTCATTGTGAGAATGATTGTCTATAAATCTGAATTCATTTATTCTGATTTTTAGTCTGAACTGAGGAAGCTGCAGTTAAAACTTTTTCTCGATGTGGCCTTAAGAGTTTCCATCATTGCTTCATTTTTTTACATGTTCAGCAAAGGCAAAAACAGGAAACAACCATTTAGCGCATGCTAGCCGCGCAGCTCATGCTAGCCGTGCAGCTCATGCTAGCCGCAGCGCATAGCCGCAGCTCAGTGCGTCTCGTTCTGGAACATTTATGTTAAAACTGTGTATTATTGAAGAGATTTCCCACAAATTATAGACAAGTTTGTGTTTTTCTGGTACATTGTGTATTTTTGTAGAAATCTGAACACATTATTTCTATGTCACTTATGTAACGACGTTCATACTGTATTTTGCTTATTTGTGGTATTATTTTATGCAGTAATATTTTCTGTGTTGCATTGAATATGTTGAGCTATTTGATGTTTTACATGAGAGGTATATTTAATTATACAGTATTTTTATTGCGTGGCACTGATTAGCTGCAGTTTTAATCAGAATTATCATAAATGGGTTGCAACGTTGGGCCTTGTTTTATAGATCGTTTCTTTCTCTGCATTAATTTGTTACTAAAATAACAAAAACAAAAGCAAATATTGAGTGCCAAAGTAAATATGTTTTCAGAAAATCCAACATATGTTAATGTTCTTGTGTTGTAAATTTGAGATTTTGGATGTGCAGCATAACTCCCACCTGCAAACCAGAGACAACAACCATAAGAAAACATTTTATTTACAAAAATGTCTTTAAATCTACAATAAAAGACTAAAATCAACCCATGTGAGCCTGATTCCTGCTCATCAGCAGAACACAAAAAAGTCATTGCAGACACTCGGCTCAGTTTCCTTTCAGGAACGGAGAAATGAACGGAAACCAGTTGACTGTAGCTTCTGTGTGAACGTTTCTATGAAGGAGCTGCTTCTGCTTTGCTAACAAGACAAATTCAGGAGGCAAAACAATAAAAAGTGAAATCTACCTCTGGAGCTCATTTTTATTTCTTAAAAGACTGTTTTTCAATTCATTCTGTTCATAAAGTTTTTCATTTCATTAAAAATATATGTAAACAAGAAGTTTTCCCGTCTGTATCATGAATAAAACTGAAATATACACTATATAGCAATATTAATGCAAACATGTCTTTTATTTTAGCGTTTCCTTCATTGTGTGTTTCCGTTTAGCTGCCTGTTTGTTGATCGGGGGAATCTCTGAAGCTTTTCCTAAATGCAGACATTTAAATGTTTAATTTAAAAATATGAGATTTCTTTGGCTTAAAGTCAAAGATGTTAGAAAAGTTTATGTTTTTGACCATGAATGCATTTGTATTTTGTTTGTATTCAAAAGCTGAAATTTCTGATGGGAATTTATTGTATGAGGGAACAAAAAGTTGCAGGTTACTTGATCATAAAAATTTAAATAAAAGCATAAAAATAAGTGTCTCTAGATCTTTAACAAAAAAACAAAAATAGTTTCAGTGTAAGGGCTGATTGAGTTTATCAATTAATTGAATTTTTGGTTTTTGAAGATTTAATTTAAGTTTTTGGAGTCTCTACAACTCTACAGTCAGGCTATGATGTTTTTCTTTTTTTTATCACAAGTACAAAAATACAGTTATAGTAATACAAGAATAAAGTCAAATGACAAAATAATGTAATAAAATCTTAAAATTACCAGAAAAAAGTTGTAATAAAAACACAAATAAAAACAAAGTTTTTTCTCCTTAAAGTCACTTTTTTCAAATCATTTTGAGATATTTTCTAGTAAAATTGCATCTTTATTCTCCTAATATTGTAACTGTATTGTAGTAATTAATCAAAGATGGTTGTATTCTGAAGAGATGTTTGAAATAAAATCCACTTTTTGAAAATGTTTTCTGTCTTGTGACATTTCTTTTTCAGAAAACAAAAAAAAAATCTATTAAAATGGAAAATTGGATCTGGTATTAAAAAAATGGAGATTTTATTTTTAAGCCGCGTCGCTCAGCTCAGTTCGTGTTGAGACATCATCGTTCATTTTAGATTGAAACGACGTAACGGGATTTCCAAATGAAGCAGATTATCCTCACAATGTCCTGCACATGTTCCAAAAAACCCTTTCTTTTTCTACTCTCTTTCTCATTTAAATGCTGTTTGATACAGTGACATCTAGTGACAAGAAGTGGGATTGCAACAGCAGTGAAAAGAAGCGCACACATCCCAAAATTGTTCAGAAACAGTTTGCTGGATACAAACAGAAACCCGTTGCTGTATTTACTGATGACGTATTAACAGATGTCTTAATGTAAGGGAATAAAAATACATTTCTGATGACTGTGGAATGTGTGGAATGAGTTTTCACAAGATTTCTACATCATCAGATGATCAGAGGACAAAAAGGCTGAATAAAATAGGCTAAGTGCCGGGGACACTGATACTGCCTGTCTAAATATTGGAAAAAAAATTATAATAGAAAAATACTATCACATTTCAACAGTAAAGATATGAAACGTTCACATTATTTCAGATCCTTAATGTCATTCCCAAGAAATACACTGCAAAAAAAAACAACTAAATCTTATTAAGTATTTTTGTCTGTTTCTACTGCAAATATCTTTAACATACAAGTAACTTTTTAGCAAGATATAGGAATTTGTTTTAAGTCAATAATTCCTTAGTATTGATGAAAAAGAACTAGTTCAATTGGCAGAAGACATTTTCCCATGTTCTGAGTGAACTAGTAGTCTTTCATTAATATTACATTTAGCTATTGACTTTAAACAAGCTCCTATTTCCTGTAAGTTAATTTTGTCTTATTTCCAGAGTTCTAACATATTTTTGCTAAAAAGTAAACAAAAATACTTGGTAAGATTTTGTGGTTTTCAGTGTACGGTCGTCTCCTCCGGCTCCCTTTGGCAATTCATTCTGAGAGTTTGAAAGTCACAATCACGTCCCTGATTGTGTTTGAGTGTAGCTCCAGTCCCTCTGGCCCGGTGCTCAGCTCTCACTCTCATTCGGTGAGTCTTTGACCCCAGCGACCTCCAGAGCGTCGCGGCCGACCCGCTTGGCTCCGCTCGTGTTCGGCTGCGTCGGGGCGGCGCTGACGGAGTCACACGCTGACGCTGACGTGGCGGCAGGACGCGGAGCGGCGTTTGATGCGGGAGCGGCGCGGCCTGGACTCGTTCTGGCAGCTGCACAGCGGGCCGAGCAGCAGCCACAGGTAGAGGATGACGCACGCCCAACAGGACGACATCTTCACCCAGAAGGTGGACCAGCAGCCGTGGGTGAAGGTCGTCTCCAACACCGCCGACTCGTAGCTGCAAGAGGACAACAATATTTAGACCAGGAAGTCATGACACAATCAGGTCAAAGGTAACTTCTTATTCTTCCTTGAAAAGGTGAATATGGATGATAAAAGGCATGTTCATGCCTTTTTTGGACAAAATCATTTTAAGGTGAGATTATTTTGAGCTCCTTTCAGAATGAGCAGTTTTAATACAGCAGTGTATTGGGAACCATGTAAATTGAAAACGAAATGGAAAAAATTTCTGCCAAAAAACTCAGAAATTGTGAAATTTGCTAGAAAAAAACATGGATGTTTCTGAGCTCTAAAAGTGGAAAATTTGGAAGAAAATGATCTAAAATTTTTAGATTGATCCCAGACATTTTCTTGAAAACAAGAAAAACGTCTGAGCTCTGGAAGTTTAAATTTTGCTAGAAAAACATTTTGAGTTCAACCAAGAAATGTTCTAGAAAGGACATTGAAAGTTCTGCGCTCAATAAGAAAATTTTGGGATATTCTTACATTAACATCAGAAATGAAGTCAAAAATTTATGAGAAAAAGAAAAAAACTAAAATTTTTAGAAGAATCTGAGAAAATTTCTACAAAAAACTTGGAAATTTATGAGGTTGAAAGGTCCCACGTTTTCAAGTTTTGGAAATTTTCTGATTCAAAAAATTTTTACACTTTATGAGTTCAGACAAGTTCTGAGTTTTGTCTAGAAGATTTCTGAGCTAAATCTCAAATTTTTGGGGGAGGAAATTTATTCTTATTTTTTTTTTGTAGTGATCCTAAAATGTTGTATTTTTAGGGCGTCTGTCAGTTTAAATCCAGCTGATTTTCTCATGTAGTTGTAAGTGTCGAGTTAAGGCCAGCTGCTGCTGCTGACCTTAACTCGACACTTACAACTACATGAGAAAATTTCTGCACAATTATACAACCATACATTTTTGAAAAACATAAGTTGAGCCTCCTGCACAACCAACAAGAATGCAGCAAGTGGTTTCTGAATGGTGAGGCAACAACAAAACACTTGTCTTTTCCAGCAGCCATTGTACAACGCATGCAGCAGTAAAACCAGCTGACCAAACATGCTGGAGCTCATCTTGGGTTACCAGGTTGCAGGTCAGCTGGTTTCTGACGTTACATTTGGGAGGTTTTGAATCGGCTCATTTTCTTGACCCCAAAAGAACATGAACTTATTCTCAAGAAAGGTTTGTTCCTGGTGCTTGGTCTGTTTTTAGAAGCAGTTGATACACAAATGGAAGTAAGAAACCCTGCAAAATGTGACTCTGTGCACAAAGGGACCCCTTTAAAAACCAAACTTTTCCCGGTCTCACCTGAACCAGTTGGTGAGGGTCATCATGACGTACAGCGATGCCAAGAAGAAGACGAAATGGAAGAAGAAGTAGCTGTACGCCACCCGCTGCGTCTCATTATGAATGACCTTCTGACAGCCTTTGTTGTCATCATCAGCCACAAACTCATCTTCAACTGGAAAAAACAAATAAAAATATCAAAACTTTAAAACTTCTGCAATAAAATATTCAAACTGCATTAAATCTAATCATTTAATATGTTTTAAATGTGACATTCACCTGGTAAGCTAAATATTTAGTTGGAAAGGTAATTATTTGGCATATGTTTTATTACTGAGTTAAATATTCAGTCAACAAGCTAAATATTAAGACCGTGACTTTTATAGATTAATGAGTTTTTTCTCTTATGACCCAAATGTTTTCTGTTAGTTTTACTGTGTAACTTTACAAACGGCACCTGAGAGTTAATTATGATTAAACTAAAGTAAATCTGACCTGCTTCTTCCTCTGGGCAGCAGAAGCAACACGTCGCTTTCTGAAACTCATAACGATAAACTTTGATCATCCAGAACGGACCAAACACCTCGGCCAGATACGAAGCTTCATTACTGCATGAAACAAACAAAAATGTAAAAATGACATCAAATAAAAATGATGTGACAAGGCGAGAGTTTGCATAAACGTTTTGTGAAGTTTGAACTCACCAGGCAAACAGAACGCAGCAGTACATGATGGCAGCGCCGATGATGGCCACAGCGTTGCCCTCGTTCTTCACGCCATCTTGCCCCACACTGGGGTAACAGACGGTCATGTTCATGCCCTGGTACACCACTGACACACAGAACAACAACACAGCAGGGTTAAGCGCAGGGATGTTCAAAGCGCGGTCCGAGGGCCATTTATGGCCCTCTGCAAGATCCCACCTTGATTCTGGAAAGAAATGAACCTGGAGGTGGTTCCTGCATTTTAGGAAAACATTTTTTACAGACAAATGACATAAAAACAAAAAAGAGGTACAAAAACAGATTCCCAATAACTAAGGATGTTTTTGCTTTCGTTTAAGCTTCGAGGAAACAAGAACTAAAAATGTCGACCCACTTTTACTCAAATCTACAGGCCAAATAAGAAATCAATCAATCCCAAAATGCTTGAAACTGTTGGTGCACAAAACATTTTTATGTTTTGCATCGACAATGTTTTCAACAAAAAATCTGACGATGTTGTTGATTTAAATCCAATTTTACGTTTAGTTTATTATAGAGCAAGTAAAATTAAGAAAAGCAGAAAAAAATCATTTTAAAGGGGCAGGATTTATGTTGTGGTGATTTCCTGAAAGAAGAGTAGGAGTTTCTTAAAGAGACAGAGGCGTTTTCTTTTAAGTCATGTATAATATGTGTAGTATTTTCTTAACAGCTGAAGGTAAAATAATTACTGTATTGAGCTATAAAATGACTCAATGGACTGGAAAACATCATTTTTGTGGCTCCCAAGTGCCTTCAACTTAATAATTTCATCCCTCGTGACAAAAAGTTTGGTCATCCTGGTTTAGAAGGAAAAATGCTGTAAGTTGGTAGCAAATGTGTTTTTCATCGTAACTTAATTGAGGCGCAGACAAGCTGCAGCACAAGGTGGCTTTATCGATTCGTTCTCCGTTTAATTTGGGTGAAATTCCTTTGCTTCTTGTAAAAGGGGCCTCAGCTGTAGCTTCCCGTCACACACGCCCTCTGACACTCGTAAATATGCTCACACACACACACACACACACACACACACACACACACCCCACACACACACACACACACACACACACGATCAGGCACAAATTAAACCCACAAATACTATGATACTAACATCCAGAGATCCCATTGAGTTTCACACAGATTCTCCAGGGAAATGAGAAACGTAGCAAACACCAAATACTTGTTCAAAATTCAATCTTCGCCTGATTTTCATTCGAGCGTCAATAACTGCTGTATCGTCTCACTCTAATGATTTCTTTTGATGGAGTTTATTAGAAGACCAGGACGAAAGCAAAACCCTGACAGTATCAGCGAAGTACAGAGGAAGAATCCCCCAAATCAGCATTTAGCAGAAAAAACATAGAGGTGAAAAACTGACCCAAGAACTCACCTGGAAGATGCAACAATGTGTGTACACTGTAAAAACACAAAATCTTACCAAGTAATTTTGGCCTAATTATCGTGCAAACATCTTAGTAGAATGGAAATAACACAAAACTAATTTACTGTGGAGGAGGCTCCACTAAATTTATTCTACAACAACTATGAGCTTGTTTTAAGTAAATAATTACCTAATATTGAGTAAAAAGGTTTAGTTTCATTGGCAGATTATTTTACTTGTAAGATGGGAAAAATGTTTTGTTATAAGTGAAATAATTTGCCAGTGGAACCTGAAGATTTTTAGCAACGTTAAGGATTTTTTAAAACTTAAAACAAGCTCCTATGTCTTGCTGAAAACCTTCTTCTAAATTAGTTTTATCTTATTTCAGGTGTGATAAGGTATTTGCACTCGAAACAGAACTAAAAAAACTTGTTAAGGTTTTATGTTTTTGCAGTTTTGGGCCAAATTTCACCCATTGAAAGCAACTACTGAAACTTTCTTGGTACCTTGATTTTAGTGCTTTGGCGCTCTAAGATAATATTTGGCACAACATTTATAAGATATTTATAAATGAGAAACCAAAACTACGTGGTAAGATTTAGTGTTTTTAGGGTGTGTTGGTAGCTACATGAGCAGCTTTTGAAAAATGTTTTTTAAAAAGCCTGGAGCGAACATTTTTTCCCAACATGTTGCTACAACGCCCTGCACTGCTGACACACACACACACACACACACACACACACACACACACACACACACACACACACACACACACACACACACACACACACACACACACACACACACACACACACACCTACTGTACGTACAGTCACTGATTTCCAACATGGCTCAGTGTGTTTAATCTGACCCCAATTTCAGCTAAAATGAGTCGACTAAGATATTTGATCTAGAAACTGGACTGAAATATTTGGTAAAATGAGCAGAAAAACAATTTATGGATCTGAATCTCTATAAAAATATCTTCATGATTTGATTTTTTCTTGTTATTATTGGAGGTTTTAGTGGAAATACACTTGAAATAAAACAAACAGACCTTAAAGTGATTTGTCATTGAGAGTTTGTTTTAAGTTGATAATTCATTAATATTGATCGAAAGGTTCTGGTTCCAATGGCGCTGTTACCTGGCAACCCAGTTCTAATTCCACCTGCAGATTACTTCAGATTACTTTTTCCCAAGTGAAATAATCTGCCAGTAGAACTAATACTTTTTAATAAATATTAAGTAATTGATTCTTTAAAATAAACTCAAATGTTTGCACTTGAAACTTGAGCAAAAATACTTGGTAAGATTTTGAGTTTTTGCAGTGTAAGTATAACGTTACGACTGAATCAAAGCATGATTATTTTTATTTTGGTACTTAAATATAAAATATCGCATTAATCTGTTTATTGGTTGTGCTTTTAACTGAATCTTATCAACCGAACTCAGAACCAGGGATGAACAAATACAACAAGCAGCAAATTCAGCAGCTTTAAAACACATGTACTAAGCATTTTTCTCCTGTAACCCGAACGCTGTTTATCACTCTCCTCTTCATCGTGACACGTTGTGTAAGAATGCGTGTAATGACACTGCTGGATGTTTTCCTCTGCTATTACCCTGTCAGTGGTTTGTCAAAGGAATGTGAAACAAACGTCTTTCCATCTGCGCCGCTCTCAGAAAGCCTGCGTGTCGCAGCACATCTCTGCCCGGTTATCTGCGCTGGTGTCTGTATGTTTGCATGCGATGAAAGTCCAGATAAGGTGGGCAGGGGGGGAGGATGCAACCGGCGGCTGCACTTACGTCGACCTCATTAAAGAGCTCTTTGTCTCTCCTGAGGCCAGCAGGTGAGTCATTAGCAGGGAACAAAGGGAAAACAATGGCGGATAACCAGAGTCTGCATGTGTTAGTTGTGTTTTTTTAAATGCTGAAGTAAAATATTAGATCCCGAGAACCGACTGAGAAGGAAATTAGGAATTAAAAGCAAAACTGTCTGACATGCAACAATGTGGAAAATCCTCACATGTAAAGTTTGGTAGAGAAAGTGTGATGCTGTAGTTTGTTTCTTTGCAGAAATAACTGTTTAAAAGTGACTCATTATGCTTCCTTGAACAGGTTAAGGTAAATCTATGGCCAAAACAAAACACAGTGAATACAATTTTTTTATAAAATGGTGAAAATGGCTGCAAACAGATGTGCAACCGTGCATCTTTGAAAAGCAGAAGTGGAGCCTCCTGCACAACTAACAAAAATGCAGCAAGAGGTTGCCAGTCAACAACAAAATACTTGTCTTTTCTGGGTTGCTAGGTAACGGGCAGAACTCTGCTGGGGTTGCTAGGTAACGGGCGGAACTCTGCTGGGGTTGCTAGGTAACGGGGCAGCGCCAGCTGATTTGTGATGTTACTTTCTGAAGGTTTTTTTTGAAGCGGCTCGTTTTCCAGACAAGAAGAAATATTAATTTATTAACAAAACTGTCTGGGTGGTTTTTTTTTAGCCCTTGTATTGTTTTTCCAGCAGCAGAAACCCAAATGGAAGAACAAAACTGTAATAGCTTCACTTTAAGATGAAAACCTGATGGCATTAGAACAGATGATTGAAAGTGAGTCAACTTTTAGGAGAATAAAGATTTAAACATTTTAAATCACCACAAAAATGGTTCAGCAGACACAAAATCATCTTTTTTCTACAGCATAGGTGTCAAACTCTGGCCCGCGGGCCAAATTTGGCCCGCAGTGTAATTATATTTGGCCCGCAAGGCAATTTCAAATTAATATTAGACATTTACATCAGAAAGGAGGCATTAAATTTTTATTTAAATTTTATTTAATATTTTATTTCATATATTTTATTTAATATAATATGTTTTATTATTGTTAGCAACTCAATTTTGCACACCTGCACTTTTAAGTTAGATAAGCTTTGCTTCTTCAATATTTATTGTTATATTAGAACTTGTTTGGGTCCATATTAAAAGATTCATTTGTTCAACCTTGGCCCGCGAATTTGTTCAATTTAAAGTTTTGGCCCACTGTGTATTTGAGTTTGACACCCCTGTTCTACAGATTTCTCTATTCCAGCTCCTGAATACGGTAGAAAAGTTGAGAAAAGTGTAGAAATTATTTTTTTTTTTAGCTATTATGCAGTAATACTAATTTCTCTCAGCGCACGGCACACTTTAACATTTCAGTGAGATTATAGCTTTTATTTCTCAAAATTGAAAACTAATCAGTTGTATAATTAATATTTTGATAAAAGTTTATGTCTTACAAAAAATAAACAGTTTCAAGTCAAGCAAACACCTTAAAGCAGTAAAATATGTATTTAGTTCTGTTTTTTTTGTCTTTGTTGGGTCAAATGCTGGCCCTCAGGTTAAATATTTTACCCAAAAGGTGATAAAGAAATACCTAAACATTAACCCTGACCTCTGACCCTTTTGAGATAATAAACTGACAACAACAAGACTGAATCCCGACGCTGGGAAGGTTTTGTTTCACCTGAGGAGCTAACTTCTCATTAGAGTCATTATTGATACAGAAATGATACAGACTCTTCCATGTGTTTCTGCTTTAGTTTTGTTAAAGAAAAGAAGCTTTGAATGTGCAGCAACTCAGTGTCTTCCTCACCTTTCTCTGGCGGGCGGCTGGACAGAGCGGAGAAGGTGAGGTACATGACGTAGCAGCTGATGATGGAGGCCTGAAGCAGCCCAGAGCGAGGCTGTTCTGTTCAGAAAAAACATTTAAAACCCTTTAAATCACGCAGAGCCGCTCTCATTTCAATAAATAAAAACCTAATCTCGCTTATGTCAGTCTGCTTGGTTACAGGTTTGAAGGTGCGGACGGTTCCTTTCCCCCGACAGACTCACTCTGCTTGACGCACGGCGTGACGGCGATGAAGGACATGAGGCCGCAGAGCCCCAGGTTGACCCACAGCAGGACCTTGTTGAAGTGGCAGGCGATGGGGTGTGTGTAGTACTTGTACATGAAGGTGAAGGCCATGGTGGCGATGGTGTAGAAGAAGAGCGTGGCGCACATCACCGCCAGGTACCAGCGCTTGTTTTCTGCCGCTCCGGTCAACCTGGCCGACAAATTAATGGGGGAATTAAAAGACCAAAAACTCCGACCTAAAATCAAGCAAATGAAGTTGCCCATTTTTTTGTTTGTTTGTTTGTTTTGAAATGGAAATTTATTGTAAATCCAAAATGTGAAAGGGATTTTTATGACCGGGTAGTAGGGCCATTTTAAATAAAAAAGAAATAATTTAAATAAACAGAATAAATTTCCACCAAAAACTTCAGAAATTTTGTGATTAATTTAAAGAATTTTCTACAAAACACTTGGAAATTTTCTGAGTTTCAAACGTCAAAATTTTTGACAATGTCAATGAGTAAATGCCAATCTAATGTCACATGCTTTGAATGGTCAAAATGATTAGAAAATGATAGTGATAATTTTGCACATCTGCTAAAATAAATTGAAATCCAAAGGTTTTTGTTATTTCTGCATCTCTCAGTTTCTGTTTCCCAAAATGAAAATTTCTGCTGCAGCTCAGCTCGTTCTGACTCACCAGTTTTTGTTCCAGGTGTGAGCAAACGCCGTGATGAGGATGAGCTGGATGAGGATGAAGGCAAACCCTCCCACCACACCAACATAATGCCAAGCTGGGAGATGAAATCAGAGGAAAACAAGCGCTTAGCTAATTTATGGAAGCGATAACATAATTCAGCTCTAATATCAACCACATTTATGGTTCCCAACAGAAGGAAAGACAAGCTGGGAAGATTTATGATCCTATGGTTTAATTCCCCTCAGTGGATTCTGAGAGCAGATCGCTGCTGCCCTCTAGCGGCAGCAGAGGAAGTGCATGTTCGCTCACCGTGCAGGAAGGACTCTGTCGGGATGAAGAAGGCAGCAGTACACATCCCAAGCAAGGTGATGAACTTCAAAAACCAAAACCTGACAAAACAAAACAAAACTTGAAGAACTGCACAGCGGTGCTGCATATTTTACCTGAAAAATGACAAGAACTTTAATTCAGGCATTTAAATAAAGAGGTAGAAATTATCTAAATAGAAATTAATTAATAGTTTAGAGACATAAAGATTCTCATTTTGGGTCATATAAAAGTTCTGGTTGTACCAAAATGTATCAATAAAATCCATCAGCTGCTAAAATATTAAGACATTTTTGCATTTGATGCGTAACTTTAGTATTCAATAACTTATTTAGATTAAATAATATTGAACATCTTTTCCAACAGGCAACGATTGTTTGTTCAGTTGTTGGTAATTTCTTCATAACTTTTGTGTTTTTTATGATGTAAAACGCTTTGAACCGCCTGGCTGCTGAAATGTGCCATATAAATGTAATTGATTGATTGATTGATTGATTGATTGATTGATTGATTGATTGATTGATTGATTGATTGATTGATTGATTGATTGATTGATTGATTCTCCAATCATTCCCTTTTTGTGATTTTTTTCAGTCAAAATCACAAATTTTCTGGTGCTACTTTAAAAATATTTGTAAAATATTCTTCCACATTTTGCCACGTGGGTCACAGATTATAACGTGTGGAAGTAAGAAATACCGCCACCTGCAGGTGGAAGTTTACGATGACATATTGGGGCAAATGTAGATAGAAAAAATCTCAGAAAATTATCTTTAAATTTTTCACAAAAAAATACATTTGAAAGTTTCTGAGCTTCAAATGTTGGATATTTTTTACTTTTGGAAATGTTCTGAGTTTCAAAATTTGACAACAGATTTTGCGTTTTGACAGTGTTGGGCCAAATTTTCTCCAGCCAAAACAGCTACTTTCTTTTTGCCTTGCACATTTCCACCCAACATTTGAAAGCAGAGGATGAAGTTTGATTCGTGTGGCTCCAGGGTTCTGGGCCTGTCCTTACACACCACTGCAACCTGCCAGAGACCCTGCAGCCTTTTCACTGAGGCTCCACTAAGACTCTTATTCCAAAGAGCAGCAACAATCCAGGCTGTCAAATCCTAATCCGTGCTGCGTCACAGCTCTAATCGAGCGCTCTGCAATGGAAAGTGCAGCAACAAAGAGCTTTAAATAGACGTGCAGGTCTGGTCAGGTGAGCTGCAGGGAATACTTTCTCCTTAAAGAATGGAGGGAAGTATTTAAGGACAAGATTAGGACTTATTCTTGTTCAGACAAAGTAAAAGTAATTACTTAAACCCAAACGTATTTGGTGAAAAGGCACTGGGTTACGATAGAGGATTGGGACGACTGAAAAAAAGACTGTACTAACTTTAATCTAAGAATTCAGATTAAAGTGAAAATGCCATAATTCCAAACCAAATCAACTTCTGTCAGTGTGAAACTGAAACGCAGGTGTGCATCAGTAGTAGAAATACTCATAAAAATATTTTTTTTCCAACAGTAACTCATGTAAATGTAGCAAGTTACTTCACAACTGTTTAGATGAACAAACCCAAATAACGAGACCGACCCGTTGTGTATGAGCGCCCTGAAGTCCTGGCTGGACTTGACGTCGATGAGGAAGATCGCCATCATCAGGTAGAAACAGGAAGTGCCGAAGCAGACTCTGTAGACTGCGGAGTATCCCACCAGCATCTCACAGTGGCCTCCGCCGTGCGCCTGGTCGCAAACCACGTTGAAGAAAGGCACCTGAAGCACAAAGCGCAGCTGCATGAGGCTCCGATTCCACGTTTCTGTCTACTTCCCTCAATCCCACGCACAGATTTGGGATGATATCCATTTAATTAAGTCAGAAATACACACTACACTGCAGCTGAATGTTCAGCATATGAATGAATGAATAATGGTTTTTCAAAGGCTTGCAGCCCTTCACAGATTGAAGGTAACTTCATAACATTGCCTGCATGCTCCAGTACAGCTAACCTGCTTTTTGAGGCATCTACCCTTGCTGTGTGTGATTATCTAATTAAATAATTAGATTATACAGCATCTGGTTCAGTGGAAACAGTAAATATGTAATTAGCTTACACAGTTTTGCTTAAAATCTTTGTGTTTTTCTTTTTGATACATGCTCACAAAAGAATGAAACCTTTGAATTCAAAGTGTGTGTGTCTGCTCCTTCTGCTACATTAAACTGACATTTTCCCTGACGAGCTCAGAGACGGTGCGGGACAACATGAGGCAGGAAACGGCGCAGCTCATGATGTGGAAGAGTGTGTACATGACCCGGGTGCTGGTGGACGATTTGACAGGAGGGCAGAAGGCACAGCAGAGCGAGCAGGGAGCCGGTCCACAGCAGCAACAAATCTGAGGAGCAAGGAGGGTCAGAATCAGTCGACAACGGAAGGAAATGAAGAACAACATTTTGTTTTTAAAGATGATCTGCTGTGATCCGTCAACAGGTTGGATGGGACCATGGCTGACAGAAGAGGTTTTCATTTCATTGTCTGCACAAAATCATTCAATAGATAATGACATGTTAGTCTGCTCTGGTTTACTCTCGTATGTGAAAATGGCTGCGCACTCAGGCATAATTGTACAACCAGACGTCTTAGAAAAGCAGAAGCGGAGCCTCCTGCACAATCAACAAGAATGCAAGAGATCAACAACAAAAGCTGGTCAAAGGTACTGGAGTTCAGCTTGTGTTGCTAGGCAACGGAGCCATCCTGCTCGGTTGCTAGGTGACGGCACAGTGCACATTGAATGCGATGCAACAATAGGAAGGTTTTTTTTTTTTAATGGCTCATTTCCAAACAACAAAAACATAAATTTATTGTCAAAAAACAGCTGGGAGTTGTTTTTTTTAAAGGGCTTCATTTAGAAGCAGTTGAGACCCAAAAGGAAGTACAAAACAAAATGCACATAATATGAAATTTGCATAACAGGTCACCTTTAAAACTTTGTAGATCTGTTTTTGAATATGCATAGATGCATCCAGAAATAAATTAGAGATGTGTTTCTGAGAATAAGATGATTCCACTTGTCAGAAAGCCAAAAACAAATCTCTGCTTTACCTTAATTCAATTTTAATTAATCAATCAATCAATGGGTCAATCAATTTAGCTAGTAAGCTAAATAGTTAGCTTGTCATACTTGAAACCAAATATTTAGTGACCAAGCTCACTATTTGGTTTCAAACTAGGTATTTAGTTAGCAAGCTAACGGTTTAGCTAGGCTAAATAAATATTTAGCTAGCAAGCAAACTAGCTAAATATTTTTGTTTTCAGCCCATAAGCTTAGCATCAGGCTTAGTATTTAGGTAACAACCTCTCTGGACATTTTACATATAAAGGAATAAATATGGTGGAAAAATGACTGAAAAATGAATCTTATAACATAAATAACCCAAATCATTGCTGTTTTCAGAGCCTCATTCTGAAATAACAGCAAATGTGTTAAAGTTTTTCATTCAACTCAAAAGAGTTAAACTCAGATTCAAAGCATCAACCAGACTTCAGTCGGGTCGTTCAGCATCAAATAACCTACATTACCAGATTTGGCAGCGGCGACGTTGGTGACAGATTAATCTAATGAAAACAGCAACATTCCCGTCTCCACTGATCCTGATCTAAATCTTAGGAGGCCTGAACATCTGCCTGGTGCCACAGTAAACTCTGGAGTCTGGAGGTCAGCCTGGTTTATTTATTAAAATCCTCCAGCCATCAACTGGAGCTGCATTTCCTGCTGCTATTAAAGAACAGCTGATCTGCAGCACAAATGGAGGAATGGGCAATTTTATGGCTGGATGGTGGAACGGTGCGTTCTGATGAATTTATTATTCATCAAAGGCAAATTATGATCTGATTGGAATAATCATTTATGTTTTTCAAATTCAGTCACTTTGAGGAGACATATTTACCTTTCTTTTAATAAGGCATTAATAGATATATTAATAGGTTTTTAGGTTTTCAGTAATTATTCTTACAAAATGTCTGACTATTTTATTTTAGTTTATTGCTGAGTAGATAGAAACATGTAAGAAATTACGTATTTTTGAGTTTGCAGCTTGCTTACTAAATTTAGCTTCAAATTACGTACTTAGTTAGCAAACTAACTGACTACAGTGGAAATATGACTTTGAAAAATGAACCTTATAACAGGTAAAGTACTCTAAATTATTGGTGATATTTCAAAACCTGAACCATTCAACTCAAATGAGTTTAACACAGATTCAAAGCATTAAAGAGCAACGAGTCTGTAGTCAAAACAGTCAAATAACAGTTAGCGAGCTGACTGTTTAGCTGCAAACTAACATATTTAGCTTGAAAATAATCATTTTTTAACGATTATAAACAAAACGTCTCAACTATCTGTGCCAGCGGCCAAACTTGGGCCACACAAAATCCATACAGGGGCCACACATGGCCCACAGACCACACTTTGGTCAACCCTGAATTAACCAAAATTAAAGTGTGCATCTTGTAAAATGCAGGAAAGATTAAAATAAAGTCTAAAGAAGGTTTAACAAGCTAACTAGGCTAAAAAGCTACATCTGAAAAAAAAATATTTAGTTAACAAGCTAACTAGTTTTGGGCCTGGAAGTAATTCTGAGTTGAGAAATTTGGCTCAAACAGTTTAGACACCCCTGGGTTAGTTTTTCCTCAGACTGAGGTGCTAATGTCACTCTTCACTTTCTGAAATAAAAACTTAAAAGACTTTGGAGCAAAGAGGAACATAACTTTAAATATGTTTGATTGAATTCTGTTTCTGTGCCAGATTTTGAGCTGACAGAAATCCCGGTGAGATGCGGAAAGTTGGAGGCCTCTCTGGACCCATGTGACGGACAGGTGTCTGCGCTGTGGCCCAGTTTGAGGTTCATAATACAGGATTACAGATCGCTGAGGGAAGCTGCTGCAGCGAGAGAGGGAGATTATCTTCCATAAACACAGAATGAGCGCTCAGATTTAAAAATAGCCAAATTACACTGGCAGTAATGCACAATAATCACAGTTGAGGAGAGTATTATTAGCCCCCCTGTGAAAATATCATTGTTTATAAAGAGGCAATACTTTTAAACAAAATGTTTCACGTTAAGAACATTGATATTATATTAATTTCAACTCAGATTAAATTATTCTACAGAGAGAGAGATATTGTTAGCCATCTGATGCTATTTGTGAACATTTTAACCTGAATTAGTTGATTTTGTTTTTTGTAGTAGAAAAATAATAAAAAATTCATCCATTTCAAAGTTTTAGAGCTTAAGATATTGTTTGAAATACAAACTGATTCTTTTATTTTTGGAGTGATGAGTTCTCCCTGAAAACAGGCTGCAAGATGCTGAAAGAAGTCCAAAACCTCATCACTGCTCCCTATACAAAGGGGCATAGCTGTTCAAGCAGAAGGAAACTGCACAGGTTTGACTATTATTCCAGGTTTGCATGGAAGAAAGTTCAGATTATATTTGGAAATAAAGATTAGAGACAAAAACCAGAACTTTAGTAGTGATATTCTTTGTACACAAAATTCTAAAACTTCATGCCAACTGTGAAGCACTGAAGTGGAAGTGTCATGGTTTGCAGTTGTGTTGTAGTAAATGAGTAAATCCAGAGAACTGACTAAGATTTAAGAAATGTGAAGTAGTGGAGAGGATTAAAAGCAAAAATGTAGTGAAACATGGTAGAAACTTCAGTCTGAGGTTAATAATATGAACTCATTTTAACCACAGTAAAAATAAAAAAGTCTCTAATTTACGGTAAAATACCGAGGCAAACAGATTTTAACCGTAAATTTTTGTTTAGTTTTTTACAGTGCAACAGTAGCTGGGAGTCATGTTTTCCTCAACATGCTGACAAGAATCATTTCTTATCATTTTACTGCAAATGAATGTGTTATTTCCAAAAATAAGAATCAGTATGAGTCTGAGTCGGCATTTGATTTTCCTTAGATAAATATATTATTAAAAACTAATTTTATCTAATAAAGAGGAACTTGGACTCAACCAGAGTTTATTGTTTTTAACTGTCTGTGTTTCGGGCTCCATCCAGATTCATAAAACAATATAAATATTTTTTGGGAAAGTGATACTTGTACTTTTTCATCAATATTATAGAATTATTGACTTAATGTTGCTTTCGGATGCGTTGCTTTTAGAGCTCTGTTAGCATAATTCAATATTTCAAACACATTTTGTTTTACAAATGCTCACGTGTGGCAATAGTAAATTACTGGTGTGGCTATTAAAATTAATTAGTTTTAGTTTAATTAAATAGTTTAGATCAGTTTGGACATACTTTTGTTTTAGTAGTCAATTAAATGGACATTTCAATAAAAATCTGTCACTTAAACATGATGAAATGTGTAAGGATGCAAATAGTTTTCCTCAGTATAAATGATGAACACATGAAGAAAAAAGGACAGAAAGTGTCAGATGTCAAGACAGTCGCTAAAAACCGTCACTTTTTATGAATCGGTCCATCTCCGATCAGTATCTGGCTCAAATCCTTCTGACTGATGAACTTTCTAAAGTCCAGCGCACTAATAATCTGGGTCATAATCTGGAAGATGTAATTTAAACATAATCTGGATACAGGAAGTCGCTCTTCCCAAGGTCTCACAAAAGAAGAGCCATAAATAAAAAGAGAAATGGACCAAGAGCCAAGAACTCCAGAAATACTCAAACATCCTGAACTCACTGCGTAACACTCCACTGCTGAAGAAAAGCTTTAAACTTGTTTGACATAGAAGGAACCACAGACTTTTCAAACTCCTGCAGACCCAAAAAGTTTGTTGTTCTGGATGTTTGTAGTTTTCACTCATGCAGAACATCAAGACGTTCCAGCAGAACATTTTGTTCTTTCTGTTGTTGCACAGCTTGACTGTTACTTTTCAGATTATACCTCAGATCAAACTCACTTATAAAAGCATCTTCGACTGACCGATTGGGTTCAGTCAGCAAATTTAATAGAAACTCATAATGACCAGAAAAAAGGGAATTTTCTTCCTTTTCTTAGCTTTTTCTTTTTAACTTATATGACAGCAACACTGCAAAACACAAAATATTGCCAAATATTTCTATTGAGTTTCTAGTGCAAATATCTTAGTTCACTTAAAAATAATGTTTCAGCAAAATATCAGTTTAATATTGTAAGAAGAAAAAAGAAAAAAAGTCCTTTTCAGTGAAAGAATCTACGTTTTGTGATAAATATTAAAGGATTTTTGACGTTTGATCTGATATCTTGCGGAAAAGTTACTTGTAAGTTAGTTTTGTAAGATGCCGTTTTTGTGTTAATGTTGATAGAAGAAACAGGAGTTTGATGCCAAAACGCTCAGAAATTTTGAGATTCATTTCACAGTTTCTGGAAAAAACGTGGAAATTTCTGCTCAAAAAATTAAAAAAAAAAAATTGCAGAAAAAACTCAAATGTTGAGATTAATTTCACATATTTTATGGAAAAAAGTTTGAAACTTTGTGAGCTTGGAAAGTAGAAAATTTTAAACTTTTGTAAGTCTTCTGAGTTTCAAAAGACAAAAATTTATTAGAAGAATTTCAAAATTTCCAAATATTTTTGAGAAAATTTCTGAGAGTAATCTCAAAATTTTCAAAAAATTCTCAAATGTTTGACTTTTGGAGCTCAGAAATGTCCAAGATTTTCTAGAAACTTTCTGAGCGTAATCTGAAAATGTCTGGAAGTTTTTTTGGCAGAAACTTGCTCCTATTTCACACCTGTTAAGTTTTGTCTTGTTACATGCTAGAAAGTAGACCACAATTGGTAACATTTTGTCCTTTTGCAGTGAAATCTTTTACATCTTTTGTCTTCTGCAGCTTCTTTGAGAGTCAGTCATGTCAGCCAGGCTTCTTCTCAGTAAAGTCCAAGTTAAAAAAATCTCCTTTCTCTGTGCTTTTAGCTCAGCTGAAGTTCCTCCTCCTGGTCTGCGGCTCCTCGGCTCTCACCTGATAGGCTACCATGTTGAGGAAGTAGCTGTAGACGCTGGTGCGGCTCATCCCCTGCGTGGCCGACATCGTCCCTCTCATGTGTTTGTCGTCGACCACCGAAGCTCTACATTTGGCCATGAACTTCCAGCAGCGGCAGCTTTTCCCCCAGAAAGAGGGCCTCACATCCTCCAGGAGGCCGGTCAGAGGATTAACGGTGGATCCGGTCCGGCTGGGCCCCCTGCAGCCCAGAGCCTCAGCCCGAGCCCCGGCCGCACCGCCTGCCAGGAAAACCGCTTGCTTTGTTGCCCATGTCCTGCGTCGGTTCGCTCTGCGGCTGCTGCCAGGAGAGAGGAGAGGGAGAAGCGGAGGCGAAACCCGGCAGCCTTCCTCATCCCTCGCCCCCCCCGGACCGGTCAGATTAAAGGAGGGAGGGGAGTTTGACATGGACCATGTGTCCGTCCCATCTGTCCGTTCTGTCCCTTCCCCCAGCAGAACATCTTCCTCTCAACATGAAGCACTGGATGCTTTAACCCTCCACAGGCCTCCAGCAGAGCTGCACTGCAAAAACACTCAATCTGATCAAGTGTTTTGGTCGAGTTTCTGCTCTGAATATCTTAGTTCACTTGAAAAAAGACTAAAGTAACTCTTCAGCAAGATATGGGAGCTTGTTTTAAGTTAATAATTCCTTCAACTGATGAAAAGGTTCTAGTTCCACAGGCAGATTATTTCACTTATAGGAAACTGTGTTGCTATAAGTGAAAAAGAATAGCCAGTAGAAACGGTACTTTATCAGGATTAAGGAATTATTTACTTAAAAGAAGCTCCTGCAACCACAGAAGAGGAAAAGTCACTGAAAAAATATAAGAATTCAGATTTTTATTCTCCAAATGTTCACTGTAATCTCAGACATAATTGAAATTCTGTAATTGACTGTAATGTTTTAGTTAAATGTTCTAGTGCAAACTACTGTAATTTTGGGGATTACAGATGGAAATTAGCATCTTGCTAAGTCCAGGATATTTATGTTATGTTTATTAATGTGCAATGTCCCATTGAGATAAATCAGCTCAGTCAGTTTTGCAACATTTGTTGGTCACATAAAACTTGTTTTCCTTCAGTTACTCAAGTTTATTTGTGAAACTCATTTCAGCAGCAAGGCGGTTCAAAGTGCTTTAAAATGTTGTGGAAAAGTGAGTGAAAAATGTCACATCTGCAGATTTCAGGAATCAAATGTTTCTTCTACTTGTTTTTGTTGCAAAGCAACAGAAAACTTTCCTCCAGTTTCGATTCTGTTAAAGCAGAATGTCTTTTCGATGCGCATCCTTTATCTGGAGTTTGGAGCTGAATGGAGCTGCAGAGCAGTGAGGATGATGACGATGAGCTGGAGGAGAGGGAGCCAGATTATATTTGGGTTAGTGTGCAGCGGGGCCAGCAGCGGGATAATCCCGGCGCTCCTCTCCGTCAGGATGACCTTCATCGGCCCAGACCAGCTTTTAAAAGCTGCAGCCGCCCAGAGTCGGTCCGGCAGGTTTTGCTGCATTTCAGCCTCTGAGTTCTGATCCGACTGGAAGATCAACCTTCAGCAAACAGAACCGCCTGGTTCCCATTCGCAAGCATTTCTGTTCTCAGATCTGAGATTCTTTCATTTTTCTTTGTCATTTTCACACACTGGCTGCATTACTGTAAAACTACTTCAACATATTTTTACTCAAGTAAAAGTTAAAAGTAGTAGAGTGAAAAAAGTATTTACATAAGTACTGAGTAACCGATCATATTATCAATCATTTAATATTTAAAAATCACATCATCAGATGGAACAAAATGTAAAGTTGCATTTTGTAAAAGTACATTTTTTCCAAAACGTTACTAACGGAAATGTAATTAAGTAAATATAACTAGCTTCTATCCAAATCTGATTACTGTGGTTGTCTTGAAAATTATTATTTTTTAAATATATAAGTGAGGATTTCTGAAACTTTCTGAAATGTAAAAGTACTTGAATCAATAGTTTTTATGATTTAGCAAAGGGGCAATTTCTTTTTTTATTAGGAACATGATGATTTGGATTTTTATTTTCCTTTGTAAATTAAATAATTATTTACTTTTATTATTTAGATGTTTGAAATAACTTGGGTTATCTTTGTCCAATATTAAAATACTTTTATGATTTGAAACGTTTAAGTGTAAAAAAAGCAAAAACACAAGAAATATTTTTAAATATTCTGAAAGCACAATATAATAATTATTTTAAAATATTACTTTAATTTCAGACCAGACGGCCAATCACGTACAGGATACATAAACAGTCCATCAAAAGCAGGAAAAATATATTTTCCATCCAGTTACAATATTTTAGATGAGAAACAACTAATTTGCTGCAGAATGAAGCTGATTTTTTATTTTTATTTTATTTTATTTTCTGTCCCTGCAGTTGCTTTAAGACTCTTGTTGTTGTTTTGTCTGTGCCATAAGAGTCTCAGTCTGTCCAAATTCACTTTCGTAGAAGTGCCAAACAAAAAGGAGGTTAAATAAGAGGAAAGCTTCAGAGCTTCACACTCGGCTAAGAGGCTTGGACTTACAGACCCAGTGAACCGAGACTCTCCCAGAACCTTCTAGTAACTCTGCAGCCGCAGGATTACAGGCCGACCCGGATGGAGGAGAGCGGTGCAACAACCAGATGCTAACTGAATTAGCATCTGGTAATTCAGATGCTTTCATTTTTTGTTATGTGGTTGTGCTGCAGAAACTGCAAGAAACACAAAATCTTACCAAGAAAAAAACTGGAACATTTTTGAGATACGAAAGTAGAAAATTTTCTTTGTTTGAATCTTTTGAAATTTCCAAAAGTCAAAAAATTGTGAACCTCAGAAAATCTCCTAGATTTTTTCTAGAAAATTGTAGATTAATCTCAAAATTTCTGAGTTTTTCTCACAATTTTTTAAATTTTGAAGCTCATAAATTTTCATGTTTTTTCGAGAAACTTTCTGAAATTAAATCTCTTTTCTGCCTAAAAAGACACTAATATGCCTCCATACAAAACAAACTTACAAGTAACTTTTCATCAAGATTTAATTGTTTTCAGTCAAAAATAACTGACCATTTATTTTAAAGAGTAAAAGTTCAACTGGCAGATTTATTTCTGTTGTAATAAGACATTTTCTCCATGATAAAGTGAAATAATCTGTTAGTGAAACTGGCACTTTTTCAGCAAGTTCAATGAGTTAAAACAATGCCCTGTGTTTTAGTGGGGAGTTACTTTGAAGTTATTTTAGTCATTTTTCAAGTGTACCAAGATATTTGCATTAGAATCTGGGCCAATATAATTTGTAAGATCTTGTGTTATTGTAGTGGAAACATATTCATGATAAATGACACGATAAGAAACATGCACCTTTTTGCATAAATCAGCGGGTAAAGGTAATTGCAACGTTTGTTTCCAGAAGCATCTCCTCTGGCTTCAAAAGCAGCCGTTGTTTTACGTAATATGATTTGTTTGCTGCAGCCTGAACTGGGTGTAAAGCAGCGACTCCAGGCAACAAACACGTGTTGCTGTGAGTCCAGTCTGCAGCCCGGCATTCCTGGGGGCCCGTTCGCTCACGGATAATTGCTGCTGCCTTGTGGGAGAAGAGGAAGTGCCAAAGAGAACAAACAAAAACAAATTAGGAGATGCAAATGGCCGCATGAGTGAACGCGCTCGATCTATGGTTTCAATAGGCTTGCGTAATAATAGCTGGATGCAGGCCAAGCCTTGTTTGGGAAACAGGAGAAGGAGGCAGGAAAAATGATGCCTTCATTCTGCATTAAGTTGGATTCCTGAACGGGATTATGACTAACGGTTTTGTTTTTGTTTGTTTACTGTGAGTAAATAAACAGCAGAGTAAATAACCAGTAAGAACAGAAACCCGGTGAACCTGTTGCTGACGTTGTGCTCTGAGGAAAAACGACTTTTTATCCGCTGCCTTGTCTCAACACCTGAAGACAGTTTCAGTTCCCACTGCAGACGCTCTGTCATTAGGACTCTTAGCTTGTAATTATTAGTGAGTTTTCACTCAACAAAAGTCAGATTGTAAAAAGTACAAAGCTTAAAGAACTACAATTATCTATGATATGAGTTTTATTATAATTATACCCTCAAACTTCCAGATATACAAGGTACAAGATTTCAACTATTTCCCCAAATGTTTTTGTATTTTCTCTCCAATTAACAAAACTTTATTGTGATTTTCTACAGCCTTTAATTTTTCTTGGTCACTGTGGATAAAAGGTAAATATATTTTTATTGGGTCTAAACTGACACCAAATGTCAGCAACAACCCAACTGATCCACATTTATGAAAGAATCAAAGTAGATTAGTGGAAATTAGTCAAGCGAAAATATGATAATTTTACCCGATGCAGATTTACAATTAAAATAATCTTTTAAATTTACCAACATGAATCTTTCTTGGAAAAAAAAAAAAAACTAAATAACTTTGGTCATTCTTGTGCAGAGCGATGGTAACATGAATGTTTTGTAATGTGGTAAGCATGTGGATGTGAAATATTGTCTGTTAGTTTGGTAAAACCAGGTACGTCGCTTTCAAACTTACCTACAACTTAATGTCAACCGAAGCAAAGGGACTTCAGAGAATGAATAGAAACCAGAAAATAAAAATGTGCTTTTCTGGTACATGTGGAGCTTCATTAGCCAACTCCGCAAGTCAAAACACCTGGAAAGAACGGTTGCCTCAATCAGATGGAGATCTGTAAAACTTTTCTGACTTCAGGAACATTTTCTAGACTTCAGTCTACAAGGTGTAACCATTACTTATGTAAAAATATCATGGTTCACCAAAAATGTTAAGATCGTTTTTTCGTTTAACAACAGAACCTACATAGATGGATGAATATATGTGTATAAATGAATATATTTCTATCTTTATTTAGTAGAGCTTCACTTATTCATTGCAGATTATCAAATTTTTCTAAAGAGCACACATTAACTCCAAATTATTCATTAAAATTTTGCCAATTTGCACTTTTTGTTGAGCACATCTAAAATATTCAAAGAAATTTAGCTTGGAAAGCTAAAATTCAAACGCATGATGCTATTGGCTGGTACTTTCAAAGCAGCCAATCCAGGAAGGGCATTTATTTTCCTAAGCAGTGATTGGCTGAACAGAAGAGCAGAGATAAGGAAGACTGTGGATGTCTGTGGGAGCGCCGAGGTTGTTTCCAATGTGTATCAATGCATGTTAATTTGGAGTTTGGAATATTCAAATAGGCCGTTATAAGCATTTTTAAAGAGGGTCTCATCTCTTCACCAGATGGACAAAACTTATTTTATTTTAGATTTCTTTTTTTATGTTTATCATGTTGACAGTGGGACAGGCACAAAAGTATGGCAGTACAAATACTTTTTCATTTGGAGGAGTCAAGGTGACAGTTTTAAATCTAAAAACCTTGTTTCAACCTTCAAGCCTGGTGGTGGCCCCATTATGATGTGGGATTCAGGGAACAAGCTACTAAAAGCTTTCTTAGCAGTTTCATCTTTTGAAATTTAATGAAGACTCATCTTTTGAAGGAATACATCTTGTTCTGCTCCTTAGCATACAGAACTCTTTCTTTACATTAGGGAACATGATGTAAATTTCACGCAAAATGAGTGATAACTGGGATGTTTCTTGTCTTGGGATGGGGGGGATGGGTGCAGTTTGTGGCTTGACAAAGAACACACTTGGCAAAGATCTTATGTGGAATAATCCCATGTTGCCTGCTGCACTTTATAAGACATTACAATTTAAACAAACAAATGATTGAAAGGATTGGTGGGCCAAAATATCAAGCAAAGGAAGGTGAATGCCTGAAGTACTGGAACTTTTCTATGAAGATAGTTTCTTAAAAATGAAAACTCAGCCTCACCTGAGCTCGAAACAAGCGTCCGGTCATCCTATTCCTGGGCCAGGAGTAAAGCAGCTTCCAAACAGTCAAACAGCCGTCAGTCATAGAGCAGGATGAAGGGGTTCGTACAACGGCAATGACTTCTCAGGGGACCTGATGCCATTTCTCAGGTCCCTCACCTCCACAAGCGTCTCCTGAAGCAACAGGCCAAAAGAGTGTCGATGTGCTTTTCAGCCCTGCTTGGGGCATTCAACTCCAACAGGTTTTCTTTTCCTTTAATCTCATTAAGACGGGTGGATTGTTAAAGCTCAAGTACATGAAAACGTCTGGAGACAGGAAATCTGTGGTCGGAGAACAAATAAACCTCTTAAATCAGACAGGAATAGCACAGCGAGGAACACAGTGTGACTTCAATAATCCGGACCGTCAGCCGGTCAAACCGGTTACTGCATTTTCGTCACCAACCCTTAACCAGATAACAGTAAAAGAAAAGATTTGTGTTATTTTCAGAACTTATCGATTTGACTAGATACAAAAGAGGATGAACTTTTAAACAAAATGTGCAACAAACTGCTGCCATATGCATTCTGGCCTTTGGCCATGCACTATAGGGTGGGATGTACCGATGGCAGATGTTTACACTTTCATGTAAATTATAACATGACAAAAAATGTATATTTGTAAATGTTATGTAAATATAGTTATTCTCAACCTTTTGTCTTGTACTTTTACAAACACATAATATGAGCTTATGAATGTAGGGTATTTTTGTAAACTTTTAAAAAGAACCAATTTAGCCCAAAGAAGTATTAAATACACAATATAGCGATATAATATTAATATAATATTCTTAATAAAATTAATTATGTGTATGCTACTTTTTATTCTCAGCTGCCATCTAAAGAAAGTGCAGCGATTCAAAGTAGGAATGTTGATATTGTATTTAATATTGTCAGTCTTGATCCGATGTCCTTTCATAAAAATCGTTACTGTGCCAACCTACATTCCCGCCACAAATAGCTGCATTTTTCTACTTTGAATTGAATGGAAGTGAGAGATCACGTGTTTCCGTTTCCCCGCGGAGCTCTCCTCTTCTACGTAAGCGTCTCCGCCATATTGTGAGTGGCCTTGCAGCTGTGGGAAGCCTCGAGAAGAGCACTTAGCGCTGATATTTTAAACTTTTTCGGGCAAGATGCCTCATTCGTGTGCTGCGCTGGATTGTACGAAGCGCTGTACGGTCCAGACCAGAACCTCGGGCGTCACCTTTCACAGGTGAGGCTGAAAAACCACCGTGTTTGGACTGTTTCGATGGGTTGACGTCATGAACAAAAGTGTCAACTTCCGCGCTCAAATTCCAAAAATTTCTACTCGTCTTTTGATTTTCTCCAGAAGCTGGCGTTCTCTTTGATGCTGTCTATGAAAACTGGGCTTTTAGAGAAATAAATCTATGTGCCAGTTTGAACTAGAGAGCCCTGAACGCATCAGCTGCCCTGGACGACACTGAAGTTAGCATCCTTCTTAGCTTCAGAAAAAGGGCTATTCCGCCGCATTTAACCAATCTGGACTACCTTCACTGCTCTTTAGATTGAAACATAACATATTTAAAATGGTCAAACCTGGACCTGATTATCGTATAATAATTGTACATTCTGCAAGACACAGTCTACAATTGGTCGAACCTTTACTCAATGCCTAAAAACTTGTGAAATGGAAACTTGAAGGATTTCTTGGGGGCTGTTTGCAACTTTTCATGGGATCTGGCTTTAAATCTCTATTATATACACAGATTAAACCTAGAGAGAACCAATCTACACCAGTCCTACATTCTAGAAAACATAACATCGAGAGCAACTTTTTAAATCCAAGTCCACAATAAATTGGACTAAACAATAAAATGATACAAATTGTTATTGTTAAACAGTTAATCAGTTAGTGAAATTCAAATCATCATTACTTTTAAGGCTTAACTATTTTATGTCTGAAGTTAACGCTGATTTTTTTTCTGGACTTTTATTTATAATTTTTTCTGATAAAATACTTTTAAAGTAGAATTGAGTACATGGTCATTTCAAACCTGAACATAACTACTTTATGCCTATAAAACAGAGTTTGTGACTCGTGTAACTTTGATTAAAAACTGTGTAGGTTTTGGTGTTCACCGTTTAACTGTTTTTTTTAAACACGCAATAGGTTCCCAAAAGAATCAAACCTGAGAAAACGATGGGTGAAAGCGATCAGGAGGAAGGGCTTCTCTCCCAACACGTCCACCAGGCTCTGCAGTGAACACTTTAAACAGGAGGACTTTGACAGGACGGGACAGACTGTCCGACTCAGAGAGGGAGTTGTTCCTTCAATCTTCAGTTTTTCTACCCCTCCAAAAAAGGTATGTGCATCACTTGAAAATGTTTTCAAGTAGTTTAGCAAAATTCTTTGAGTATTTTGTGTTTCAAATCAGCGACGGGCAGCGAAAACAGCAAAGGCTTTACCCAAGAAAGGAGAGAGGCAGGAAGTGGCGAGTGCCCCGCCTCCCCCAAAACAAGAACCTCCACCCTGTCCTGATTTAGTGAGTTCTGAACATTTCCTTCTTTATTAACCCTGACAATCAGTGGTCACTGCCTGTCCATGTCTGCTGGTCGTGTGACCGTGCCTGATCCTTGTGTCTTACTAGGACCACTCCTATGCACTGCCTCCATCTTTGGGCGATCTGAAGGTAAAACTCTGCGAGGCGTTGGAAAGAGTCGAGAGTCTGGAAAGAGAAATGAGGAACGCCAAGGATCGGGAACGGAGAGCAAAGAATGCGTTGCACGTTCTGGTGGAGGATCTGAAGGGGAAGAACCTCATAAACGAAGAACTAAAACAAAGGCTTGAGTTATCATGAGCTGTCATGACAGGATGGACTTGGTGAACATTAATTTAGGTGTAATACACCTTAATAATTATCATCTGACTTTATAGTTATCATTTTAAGTGACTCAGTATTATTTTAAGCTTTTATTTATAAAAAAAAAATCTTGCTTGTCGTGGAGTTCATCACTGATATTCTACTGCTGACGATGCTGGAGCATTTTCCACATCAGTGATGCTTTTCCTCCCATGATGGTAGCCAGGACAGCTTGGAGCGCCACTTTAGTTCAATGAGGCATCAGGTATTATTTATCCTGTTATTCATGAATGTTTTCAATGTTGATTTCTTACGACTTTGTCCTGATCTTTACTGTGCTCTTAGAATGGTAGCCATGGTGACCCAAAAGGGTCGACAAAATGCAAACATCACAATGGAAACCACAATGCAATTACAATACAATTTGCACAATACAACAACGCCACAAGGAAAAGCCAAAACACAAGAAAAAAGGCACAACAAATAACACAAAGAACCACAACAACCTTTTCTTGTAATATAATCTTTGCATTTTGTTGACCCTTCTGGATAACCATAGAAAACAGTCATAAAACATTTTCCTCTTTAATAAAAATATGTGTGTCTGTTTTACAGGGGGTTGATGAAACAACCAGTCTGGTTTGGTATCTCTCCAAGCACATCTGGAAAACTAAAAGCACAGAACAAGACAGTCTCCCTTCCTCCTACTACCGCCGACTCCATCAGCAGAAGAACAGTTTCCACCTGCTTTTCTTCAACATTTCTGTTTTCTTTCATTTGCAACTTGGTGCTTGATTTATTTATTTTGTTCAGAAGAATTGTGTTCACCTCAACGAGCAAATCTGACAGGAATCACATTTTTGGTACTGACATGAATATAAACCATGCTGTTGTCTTTTCACTACTGTTTTTACTTATGTCCTTGGTCGTCTCTCTTTCACCACAATGCCAAACTAAACATTCTTCAAGTTTATGGTGGACATGCAAAAAACTGAAAGACCTTTATTCTGCAAGGGTTTTGTGGAGGTTCCTGGAGTGTGTTGTGATGCTGAAAGTGAGGCCTTAGCAGCACAAGACAAGTTCTGGCAAAAAATGTTTTTTAATAAATTTTTTGATGTCTCTTCTTCATTTTTCTCATAACTCTTGATATTTATCAACTAAACCATTTCTGGATTTTAGTCAGTGGCTTGCACTGCTACCTTGCAGCAAGAGGACGTGGTGTAGCCCTGTGACGGATAATTTTATTTCGAAAATTTAGTAGTTCTGCGTAAACGACTTAGTTTTGGCCCTTATTTACTGTCAGTTTGGTGTGATACACCATCTTAACTGTAATCAAAAATGCAAAAAGAAAAAGTTTTACAAGTAAAGTCATCCTTTTTCAATTGCTCTTTACATATGCGTTTATATTTTCTGTTTACATTTTTTTACACTCAAATTAAAAGCTCGGTTTTAAATAGACTAGAGAAACTTCCTTCCGGTGTAACCTCACTTTCTCTCCGACGCGTTGCGGAACTTTTCTTTTCGTTCCGGCTAACAATCCAACATGGCAGCCGAGGGAGACGTTGATTTGGACCTGGAAGCCGAGGAAAACTGCACCGGGAAACCGGTGGAAAAGCCTCGGAAACATGACAGCGGAGCCGCGGATTTGGAGCGAGTCACGGACTACGCGGAGGAAAAAGAAATCTCCAGTTCGGACCTGGAAACGGTGAGAGCAGTAACCGGCGGGCCGAACCAGAAACATGCGGCTGGAGCGGCTGCTGCTAACCGAAGAGCTAACCGGTTCGTTTGTCAGCGGTTCTTAAAAAACTCGCTTTAAAATCTCTGAAATTTTTCTAAAAATGACAATTAAAAGAGTTTAAATATTGTGTAATCGTCAGGCATTTAGTGTTAATTAACTATATAAAATATAGCTTTGTTGAAATCCTATTAAAAGTCTGGTATTATACTAATTAAAGTGTGAAATTTTGTTTTTAGTGTTTTGAGTACAGTTTAAATATTTACACCTATATTTTTTTATTTTTACTAAATACTTCATGTTACACGTTTTGTTTTGCATTAATTCTAAAACAATATAAAAGTACAAATAAAACTGCGGGACTAAGAGCATTAATTACTTGTTACTGCAGCTTTAAATAAGTTAAATTTTTAAATGCAATGGTAGCCAATTAAATGAGGCAGAAGGGGATTAAATAGCTTTAGAAAAAACTTAAATATCAATATGCTTATAAGAAAAGTTTAACTTTGAAATAAAATTATTTCTTCTTAATGATGCCGACTGGTTTAAATCAAACCAAATAAATACTAACTGCTGTTTCTTCAGGCGATGTCTGTGATCGGCGACAGAAGATCCAGAGAACAGAAAGCCAAACAGGAAAGGTAAGATCAGTGCTGATACGACCCATTTATAATATTTTCTGTTTTGTCCTGAGGATTCAGGAATAATCCACTTTAATTTGCTTTGGAGTTTAACTTTCATTCTGTTTATTTTCAGAGAAAAAGAGCTGGCTAAAGTCACCATCAAGAAAGAGGATGTCGAGTTGATTGTAGGTAGATTTCATTTTCCCGTTAAGATTATATGCATATAACCAGCCAACAGTTAACTGGTTTACATGTCTTATATGAAGCTGTTTCAATCTAATTTGTTTTTAGACAAGAACAGAGTATTTGGTTTTCTGTTTGTTTGCTCTGACCCACATACATAAAGTTCTGCATTTTATACACAATATAGTAATAACTACTGACAAAAATAACTTAGGTTAATGATGAGTCTTCATTGTCCAGATATATTTTTTTATAGCTGCACATGCATTGTCTATAAACCCTTGATTTGAGTCAGGTGAGTTAAGATGTCTAAATGCACAACTTTACATAATAAATACCTCGGTTGCAGTTTTTTCCCCTTTCGTTTTGCACCAAAATCTGATGTTTTAAGCTTGCCAACCGTTTTTCTTCTTTTTACCCTAACCAACGGCAACATCTAGTTTGTATTGGCCTTAACTGCTTCGAGTCGTAATGAAGATGTTTGCGCACGACTCAGACGTTGAAGTCCAGCGAAAAATAACCAGAAGATAAAATAGTTATGCCACCACAAAATGTGTGATCTGTGATTAATGTATTCATTCCAGTTTATATGTTTTCCTTTCCATCACCTTCCTGTTCCTTTGCGGTTTTTTGTGGTGCAGATGTCAGAGATGGAGATCTCGCGGTCGATGGCGGAGCGCAGCCTGAGGGAACACATGGGGAACGTGGTGGAAGCTCTGGTGACTCTGACCAACTGAACACATTCTCACACTGGACTGTTTCTCCCCACCTTAAAGCTCACAGGATCAATCCAATGGAGCTGATCCTACGCAAATCCTTCAGTTTTTTTTTTGTTGTTTTTTGTCAAATAAAATTTCATTATTGTGTAAAAACAAGTGTGTTTAATTCAAATAGCTGTACTTGAACAGATGCCGCAAAAACTAAACTGGTAGGTTATTTACAAAATTACACAAATCCAGCTGCTTCCTGGATTTGCCAGGAGAAACAAAGTAGGACAATCAGTTCATGTGTTTGGAGAAGGATTGGACCTCGCAGGCTTCCCTCCAGCGTTCACCAGGATCATCTCAGGTCTTCCTCTTCTTCACGGTGGGCCGATCGAACACGTCCCTCACGCCGGCCGCCTTCTGCTTGAAGAACTTGCTGTTCTGAGCGCTTTCCTGAGCCCAGGCCGAGTCGAACGACGTCGTGTCCTGGTCCACCAGGTGGGTGTACTTGGTGCGACCCGACCGGCCAAAGTTTTTCACCTGGTCAAAGCAAAAACGGTCAGAAAATAAAAAAATGAACCTGGATAATAAATTCCCGGGATGCAAGCGAATCTCACCTGCATGACTTTGGGTAAGATGGTTTTGTTAAAGTGATCCTCCAGAGTAGGAGCGCTGAAGTCTCTCTTGTACACATCCTCCTCCTCGTTCTGGGAAGAGAGCAAATGTTTAGAACAAAAACACAAGTGCGTCTCCACTACCACCGAGTGGACAAGACAGGCAATGAAAAACAAATTATGGAGGTGGTATGCGTTTTCTAAGCACAGCGCCATATAGCAAATATGACTTAAATTTTATTTTATATTTTATTGCCTTGAAATTGGGCTTCTGTCTCTTTAAAAACTGCTTCTCTTTCTTAAACTCCACCTTCATGAAATCATCACAACATGGCTCCTGTATTATCCCTGTAACAACGTTTCTGCCAGCCCTGCTCTGCGAAGCTCCTATCGAGATCGGCTGATGTGCAGCACCATCAGGTGTTTGCTAATATCTGCTGGCTAGTCTGAAGGAGCTGAACAGGGATTGCTTTGTGAGCCAGAACCTCAGAAGCTTGGGGAGGAGCTCCACCACGAAGGCGGGGCTACGTCCAACCAGGTTAAAGAATTTCTTAAACATGCATAAAAGAGTCTAAGCAAAATGTCAGGTATGTATTTGACCAGGTAACAATACAATGGAAATTGATTTGAAATGATACCACCCCTTTAGGAAAAGTTTCAGATTTTGACCTAAAATTACAGAGCCACTAAACTGCTGGAGTTTTGAAATAAATTCAGAAGAGAGATCTTACTTTAAGAACTTTTATATCACGTTAAAACAAGAAAACTCTAGTTTTTTAAGATTTATATCTCTTTAAGATATGTTATAGTTAAAAAAACAGAATAGCCAAATGTCTTGGGATGTTTAAGTCTAGCATCAAAATTCATTTTCATTTTGGTTCACATCAAGTTCAAGAAAGTCTTTAAAGGTAGCAGAAAGTATTGATAAACTACCTAATAACAAATTGCTAATATTAATAAAAAACTAACTTATTTGATGAGAATGTGCGTCCTGCTCACCATGAAGAACGCTCCTCTGTGGTAGTACTTCTGTAGGAACTTGTATTTGCCCTTCTGGGCTTTGTTGGTGACGACCTTGCCGCTGTTCCGGAGCTCCGCCCGCCGCTCCTCCTCCGTCAGGTTGTGGAATCGTTCAATCTCGGCCTTCTCCTTCTCCATCCTGAAGACAGACCCAGTCACCACCCTGCTCTGCGTCTCACCGTCTCCATCAGATCCGTTTACTCACGTTTCTCGTGCCTCTCTGTCCCTCTTGATGCGCTTCAGCTCTCGGACTTTCCAGGCCTCGTACTCCTCCTCCTCGTTCTCTCCGTCTGTGTCCAGCGCTTCCAGAGCGGCCAGCGTGCGCCGATTCTCCTCGAACTCTTTCTTGGCCTCCTCCTCGACGATCTTCAGGGTGTAGCGGCGGCGCTCCTCCGCTTGCCGCTTGGCCTCGGCCTCCAGCTCCCTCTGCTTCAGCTCCTCGGCTTCGCGCTCCGCCACCGTGATTCTGTCCTTCCTGTCCACCAGTTAAGAGTTTGGCAAGTTATGGACTCATTACTTCCTGACATTCAATCGAATGTTCAGAATAATTTGATCTGAGTAATTTTTGTGCCTGTATTGGGCATATTGCACAAAATGGAAACACATTTTGTCATCATGAGTCACATGATCAACAACTGAATGTTACTGCTGGCAGAAACATCAAAGAAGACAGCAGGAAGTGGTTGGATGAGGATGATGCTGCATGTTTTCTAATGATTTATCTTGTGAACAAACTTATTCACGAGTGATTCTAATTGCTTCTCATTTAATGGAAACACCATAATTGCAAAGTTGTGTTTTTGACATTAACAAAATATCAAACATTGGTAATAGAAACAAAACTACTGATAATTTACTGATACATTAATTTCCAGAAATATTTTCACACTGCTAAAACAAAATTGTAGTTTTTGTGCCAATAATTTATTTGACTTCAAATACAACAAAACTAACTTACATGTCACCTTTCAGCAACATTTACGAGCTTGATGTAAGTAAAGAACTTCTTAACTTTTTAGTTAGTTTTTTTTTTTTATGTGTACTGGGATATTTGTACTAGATCCTGAACCAACAGCTTGACAAGATTTTGTTTTTGCAGTGCAGTTTTCAGAGTTCGTACTTGCGGATGAAGACCGGTTTGAGTCGTGGCTCCGCCTCGTCCTCACTGTCCGTGTATTCTTCATATTCTGACTCAGACTCGGACTCCTCCCCCGACTTCACCTCTTCCTCCACCTCCATCACTTCCATCTCCTCGTTCTTCCGCTCCATCGCTCGCTGGCGCATCATCGCTCGTCGCCGCTCGATTTCCTGCAGAACGATGGTCAGACAGTGAGAATTTAACCAACGTGATGGAAAGGACTAAAAACGCAGAGGTGTTTGTATAATGCCAACCTCATCATCCACTTCTTCCTCCTCCTCTTCTTCCTCACTGCTGTCTTCCCGCTCAGGATGCCATGTTCCCTCGTCCGAGTCCTCGCTGCTCTCGGCCACGACTTCAGGCTCAACGATCTGCCTGTGCCTCGCTAACCTGACAACCAACGAGTGAGAAACGTCTTCACGCTCTAGAATTCACCGGGAGTTTGAGTTTCAGCGAGCGCCAGGACGATACCTCTCCTCCACATCCTCGGAGGTCCGGTTGAGCAGACGCCGGAGACGCGGGTCGGAGACGTCCTCCTCCAGTGGCTCCACCTCCGGCTCCGCCTCCACCCCCTTCTTCACAAACTTGAACTCCTCGTCTTCCTCATCTGAAGACTCCATGGGGGCGTAGTCAGGACGCTTTCCGGACACATAGCGCTTCACCTTCACCTTCTCCATGGTGAGCTCACCTGCGTGACGCACATCAACAAGATGGCTGACATCAAGTTAATCTGAATACAGTCAGAAGTCGTTTCTGGTCTCAAACATCCACAGTTAGAAATCAGAAATCACTGATTTCCTTGGCTTCTTTTCACCTTCCTTTGCAGTGAAAAATCTCAAGAATTTAAGATCAACAATAATTATTTGGGACTTTAAATTATCGGTCCAGAAATGCATCAGTTTGTTCAACTTTAAAATCAACAAAACTCAAATCTTGCAATTTTCCCTCAACAGCTGTGAAGGTTTACTAACATTTATTTTGTGACTTCAACCGCATTGTTTACTGACTTAAACAAATAAAAACAGCATATAAAAACAAACCTTGATGTAAAAGCATAACAAAGATAGAATCTCACGAAACATGATTAAAATAAAGCAAATCCAGTTTATTTAAGCTCTAACATCATACTTAATTAAAAATTGTAATAGTAACATAACTTTTTTGACTTGTGTCTTTAGACTTGAAACATTACTAGACATACACACGTCATCTCTTGTCAATGCTTTCTTACACAGAAAACAGTAAATTTCATAACAGGAATTAACTACAGACTTTACAGTAAAAGAAAAGTAGCATAAACAGTTACTGAAGTTTGTAGCAGTTTGCATTTGGTTGATCTCCGTTTTATTACAGTGAGCTTAATTACTTAATATCTAAGCTTGACACTCAGAAATTACGTCAGACGTGTATTTGACCACATCATTTGTTATCCTGACCACAAAATAATTGTTTGCAGCCACCGGCACTGTGCTAAAATCTGGACATTATAACACTAAGCCTAAAATCAGGGTGCTAGACATAAAATTACAACATTTATTTTGCTCTTTATAACAACTTATCTATCACTACGCCCTTATTTAAACAGTTCCAACACTGTAACTTGTTCATTTCGTGTATTGTGTGCCAACGGTGACGTTAGCTGATGCTAATGTAGCTAAATGGCTAACCAACAAAAGTTCACCTTTCTCGTTCCGGATGGGAACGGCACCGGCCGTGGACTGGATCGGTGGAAGCTTCATGTTGGCGGCTTCGTGACTAGACATGATTGCCTGGTCAACGATAAACGAGCCGACAGAGGAAAAATGAAAACGATATTCCAAATAGCTACTCTAGCTCGATGTAGCTGCTGCGAAACGGAAGTTCGATAAAATACGTGAACGGACAGGAAGTGGAATTGTTCCGACAAACGCTTCCGATGCACACGTAGCTTTACGTTAACATTTTATCATCATGTTTTGTCCTAGAGCGTGGAATACGATTTTTTTTAAATATTCCATATATATTAAAGGAAAAGCTTGAGATAAAGTATTCAACGAGAAAATATCAGTTCTCTCATTGAAGAGTGATTTAGTAGATTTGGTGCAGATTTGCGCCCCCTGTGGTTGTTGAAAACAACGCAAAAGAAATTAATCGAAATTATTTTCCTGGGTAAATAGTAATATTGATTAGAATATACAGTTGACAATAATAACAAATGGTAATATTACTATTATTGTTAGTAGTAACATTCCAATTTATCAGTCTTACATAAAAATTAAACATTATTTTTGCTAAACATATTTTCTGCCTACATTCATCCATGTAATAGCAAACAGCATAAAGAGAACTACAATTTTAACTCACTTTGAAGTGAGTTGAAATACATGAAAGTAATTTATTTTTTACATTTACATAAGATTGTAGAGTTGAAATCACTAGATATAACTATGGTCCTACTTCAATAGAAGGAAATAAATAAATGCAGAAATAAATGATCATTTAAGGCTCCTGAGCTCAGGACCCACAAGGTTCAACATGAAAGCCTAGTGTTCACTATTAGATCAAAATTCTTTCTCTTTCTTGGAGGCATTGTTATAAGCCTTCTTAAATGCTCACAAAGATTTACAAAGACATTTGTGTCAACTTTTTTGGGGGGGTACCTGCAAAATGACTTAAACATTTATTTTGACATCTTTTATTGTTCATCTTATAACATTAGCAAACAAAACAACATCTCTAAACCATGTAGAGTAAAATTGCAAGTAAATGTATTCCAGCATTTGTTTCTAGATGGTAAATTCAAGTAATTTTATTGGTAATTTTTTAAATATTTTTGCCCCCAGGATATATTTTAACTTCCCTCTGTGCCCAAAATGAATGTTTATTTTTTAGTGGCTGACAATAAATAGTGGGGAAGTTTGCTGAAAGAAAAGAGCCAGGAAAATTTTGCTTTCTTAATATTCAGAAATAAAATCACACATAATGTCCTGAAAGTACACAGCAGTCACAGCACAAAATAAGGAAATAGGATTATTTTTATGCTTGTTAAAGATATTGCATCTGATTAGTGATCTAAACAGTCCATTCTCCAGCAAGGTGAGGCGGTTCTTTCAGAGCTGAACTCCTCTCTGTTTGAACTGATCCCCCAGCTTCTCCTCCAGAGCCGAGTTAGTTCCTTTTAGACCTTTAACCACCTCAGCGGCCCAAACAAAGTACTCCTGGACCCGCTCAGCCGTCCAACCTGCCAGAGAAACAAGAAGAGGGTTAACATGTGAAAAGAGATACAGAAGCTTTGATGGACATGAATGTGGATGTTTTGTATTAACAAAATGATTTCTGGACACTGAAACTGCGCTTGAAGAGAGAACATGGTGGTGCGACTGAAGCAGAGCCTTTGGTCTTTACCAGGATGACGGTTTATCAATTGTCTGGTGAAAGTATTCACATCTCTTGAACATTCTTTACATTTTGTCTTCTTGTAACTAATACTTAAAAGTATTTCAACTGCACATCAGGTAATTGACGATAGTTGTGAAATAATTCCTTGTTCACTGCAAAAACACAAAATCCTACCAAGTATTTTTCATTCAAATTTTAATTTCTAATGGAAATATGTGAGTACATTTGAAAAAAGGACGAAAATAACTTCAAAGTTACTTTTCGGTAACACGTTTTAAGTCAATCATTCTCTGAAATTGATGAAAAATAATTATTTAAGTGGCAGATTATTTAGCTTTTTACATTGGAAAATGCTTTGTTACAAGTGAAATAATCAGCCAGTGGAAATAGCTTTTTTCATAAATTTCACAAAATTATTGACTTTTTCATTGATTTTAGGAAATTATTGTCATATCTTCCTGAAACGCTACTTGTAAAGTAGCTTTTAATAAATAGTTTTTACTATTTCCAGGGCACTCAGGTATTTGCACTAGAAAGTAAAGCAAAAATACTTTGTAAGAATTTGTGTTTAAAATTTTGCTGAAAAATAAAGCTGAAAAGTGTGGTGTGAATTTGTAGAAGCATCTTTCGCTGGAAGTCTTTTGGGGAAATGTCTCTTCCACATTTGCAGACCTTTGTGAGAGCATTGCTAAGTAGATAAATAAATATTCCTGGATGTCAGATTGGAAGTAATGAGTAATTTTGATAACGCTGGAGAGCTGAGCAGAAGAACAGAATTGCAGATCGTCAGTAATATTGAAGTGTTTGTGCACTAAATCTGAAAAATTCACTTTAATTTTCAGATTATCAGCTTCCACAGATAAAGAAGTAAAGAGGTGCTGACCGACAGGCGTGCAGGCGTTCAGGTCCCTCAGGTTGTACAGCTTGTCAGCCAGTTTCACCAGTTTAGCTTGCCGGCTGCAGTGAGGTGCATGTTCCACCTGCAGGCGCTTCCTCTCCTTCTTCGGCAGACTTTTGTCATCCGTCACCTCCTGGACAATTCGAGCTACGATTGGCCCGAATCTTTCCTCCAGCTCCTCCGGGCTGGTGTCTGTGTCCTCTACGGTGTCGTGAAGCAAAGCGGCCTGCATGTCAGAGGCAAAGGGCTTAGCATGGCAAGAAAGGCAGAATACATCAGAGATGAATGAGAACATACTTGTAAAACCTCGATCTCTGTCACTCCTCCCTCATGGCTGAGGATTCTTGCTACACCTGAAACACAGAACCACATCAGACACGTTACATTTTTCAGCTTGAAGGGAAATATAGTAAACACCTCTAACAGGTGGCCTGATCACTGCAATTATCAAGTGCTGATCTTGCACAGAGGCATGCTGACTGCAGATGTATCATATAAATTTATGATTCCACATCCCATATTCTTTGAAGTTTGCAGACATCTAGTTTTGTGGAAATTTTTAAAGTTCCTAAAACATCATTTCAGTTCCTCTCTTAAGTTATTTTTATTTAGGTAATATTTTTTATCTCTGTAGAATAACTTTAAACAAGAGAAGAGAAATAGGGACAAAAAGAATTCAGATTCTTAATGTAAGGATTTTGACTCATATCTGTCCTAACTTTAATTCTGAGATTAAAGTTAGGATTTTGAGAAAACAATGTCAGAATATTGAGATTAAAGCCAACATCCTACGACTTAAATCAGAATTTCATTTTTTTTAGTGTTTCTAATTCTCTTCCGGTTTGAACAGCAGGAATTTGATTCTTCTGGATCGGCTGCAACAGTTTTTAAGATCAGTGCTGTTTTTTTCCAGTGTCGGCGTTGTTATTAAAAGGACCGAAATTTACTATCAAGTAATATGAAACTAAACATTTTGTCATAAAGTTTTTTTCGGCTATAGAAGGTGAATTTTCGCCAAATAAAGTCAAACTCCCCTTGTAATAAAATTCATACCAACCGATTGGATGATTAATGTACGGCGTTGCTTCTGGATCTTTACGGCGTTGTCTACGATGTTTTTCTGCAGCAAAATGAACGGTTTCTAACAATAAAGCCGCTTCTGAATTCATAGCTAAATGTAAATAAAGGAGTTGGTTGAGTTAGCAATAGGTCCGCCCTGTACTGGGTCCGGACGGAAACAGCAGCTCACATGATCACTTCCGCCCTGTCAGCTAAGGGAATCCGGTGGCTGCTCCACTCTGATAGATTCACTTTTCGGCTATTAAAAAAATACACCTTTTTTCTTTTGCCTTATAGATTATTCATTAAGAAATTGCTTATTATACGTATTGACGTTTTCTGGTTAGCCTCGTAACTCAAGCTGACAGGTCTGTTTTTAGCCAACAAGCTAACCTTGCTGGAGCTTTACGTCAGCTCTGATTTCTTTCTATCAGCAGCATTTGTGAATATACTTTTTATATTTCTACACTGGAAAACCTTAAAGGTAATTAATGACATTTGATCACATATTTGTATCCATATATGTTGTTTCTTTAGCTCCGTGGTTATTGTTGTTTTAGCCCAGAATGGCTCACAGTGCCAGGAGAGACTCCCCGGAGCTCCCAGACTTGTCTCTGCTGAAGAGGCTGGTCAGAGATCAGCTCATCTACCTGCTGGAACAGGTGGGATCACGATGCACACAACACCTGAGTAAGAGTTAGCCCCAGCTGGATGCCACCTGACACATAGGTGTGTCATCTACTTTTTCCCAGCGGAAGTTAGGATGTATTTTTGATTTTTTGCAATAAATACAGAATAAAAACTGAGGCTGAAATACAAACACAGTCAAAGCTCCTTCTGGCTCTTTCTTTTAGTAGACATCCTCAAACTTCTGTCCTAAAATTTGACCATTGTTATCAATGGAATTGTTTGAGTTTATGTAAATTGGTGTCTTTCCTGGTGCAAAGCTGGTTTTTAAGAGTAATCCTCAGTATTCATTCATACTGACATACTAACCTTCTGTTCTCTCACAGTTACCAGGGAAGAAAGACCTTTTCATTGATTCGGACTTGATGAGTCCGCTTGATCGAATTGCAAATGTTTCAACATTAAAGGTAAACAATATTTACTCCTTTTTGCAACTTTTATCTCAAGTTTTTTCAAAATATTTAACGTTACATTGTTGCAGCAACATGAAGTTGACAAACTTTACAAAGTGGAGCACAAGCCGATAGTCAGCATCTCAGATCAGTACGTTCTTCTCCTTGTTACTGGTGGATATCCGTTTTTATTTAATATTTGGACAAGTTATCTGATTTTATCTAATTTATACAGGATTTGCTTTCTGATTCGACCACGAATACAAACCGTGAAGTGGATTTGTGGTAAATAAAGTTTATTGTTTTTGCCTCATTAATGGGGCAAAGTGTTCTGCATGCAATGCATCTGTAACTTCAGATGAATGTGCATGTTTGTTTATAACTTTGGTTTAAAAGATTATAATTGCTCAATAATGAGCGGTTTTACAACTTATGCTCCTTCCTTTCAGATGTAGTTAATGCAGACAAGG